GATGACTTTAGAAGAAGGGGAGATGTGAGGCAATTTGCAGTGGTTCGGCACAGCGCCACCTAGTGGTCTGGAGAATTGAAAAAATTGTATTTTTTAATATAACTTATGAACTGTTTGCTTAAAAAACGTGCAACTGGTCACTTTTGATTCAGTTCAGCATACCAAGTCGAATTTTTCCATATCGGCCATTTTGAATTTTGTCATAAAACACTGTATTTTACACATTAGTTACTCAGTATGTGTCAGCAGTACCATGCCCTGAACACACTCAAAAAGCTGCAAGATTTTGTCTATATTAATAAAACAAGTGTTGATAGATATCTTGAGTCATACAGAGGACAATGATGCCATACTCGGTCAAAATGTCTGTCCGCCATTTTGAAATTTTCTTGAAATCCTATTTTTTCAAACTCCTCTTATACCATTGGTCCGATTTTCACCAAAATTGGCTCATATCATCTTTAGACCATGCCGGCGAGAATCTATTAAAGGCTTTTTGATTGACCAAACCATTCTTGAATAACCCATCAACAAATTTAAAGTCACGGCGGCAAGCAAATTCTGAGGCTGTAAATCTGCAACTCTTTGGCATATTGACTAAATGTTTTATGTGTCATTCACATTGACCACACAACATCAGTCTGGTAACAGTGTCACCTATTGGTCAAAAGTGCTAAATAATTAAATATTTTTAACCCTTTCCCTGCCATTGACATCATTTTCCTTAATTTATGAGACGTTTTCCCATTGTCCATTGTCAGAATTTTCCAGCTTTTCGTGTTTTCATTGATGCATAGTAGGAGGTGCTTTTACACAACATCTGAAACAGTACAGAATCTCTGGATCAAAACACACACTCACAAAAAGCAGAAACAAGCCATGAAAGAATTGCTTATGCACCTTGTGGTGATTTCTCAGCTTTTTGTCCAAAATGTTGAAAACTTGCCGACATTTGAGTGTTGATAAAAACCAGAGGCTTAGTCTTTTTATATATATATATATATATATATATATATATATATATATATATATATATATATATTGCATGTTCAGATAGTCATAAAACAAAATATCCTGGGGGCCATGACATTTATCAAAAATGCTGGCTGTGGCTGGTAACTTTTTTTTTTAATGCTGGCTGAGAAAGAGTTGTTGTATTTATGATTTTCAGACGTTTTACTGAAATAATCAAGTCTTTAATTACTCATTATTGCAATCTGATATGTGCTTGGGCCCTTAACGGTTATATTTATGTGCTTTTTTGTTGACAAAGTGCACCAAGTGTGCCAGCCAGTTCTGTTATTGATGTTATTGCATCCAAAAAGAACAGGTGTAAGACACCACTGGACACAGCCATGCACAAACACGGACACTATAGCTATCACACACTCACATGTACACAAAAGCTGTGATTACAGTGGAGTTCAAAGATCAGATGCTGTCTTGGATCTTAATGACACATGTGAGCTGTAACGGCTCATTAGTCAATGCCTCTGCTATAATGAATGCTTTTCCATCCATTAAACTCATTCGTTGTCCACATGAGAACACAGGGCAGGTGAAAAAGATTAGCAAGTCTTCCCCACTAGACGAAAGCCATTGGCTGGTCCTCCCACTCACACTTGGTCTCTTAGCTTTGCTGCCCTGACCCTTAACAGCTTCAAATCACACGATCAATAAATAGCAGACCAGTTGTGCTTGTATCTGGATGTACAGCAGACTTATCAGAATGTGGCCTTTTTTTTTCTTTGTACCATTGATGTTCAGATCGATCCTTTACATTTACACTGAAAAGTAAGTAGGCCTATATGATAAACATTTTAGCATATCATGTATTTAAATAAAAAAAGATTAGATAGTTAAGTGTTTACACAACGAAATATTTATAACATTTGAAAATACAAAATAGTTGTCATGGAAACTGCACAAATATTTGTATTTACTCCATGAGTATAAAACATGTAACCCTACCTTTTTTCAAATTCTGAATTTTTGAGTTTATATATTCATTTGAAATGCATTATGAATATTTATTTGTTTTTAAATATTTACATTTAAATAGCAATATTAAAAATGTAAGTATATTTTAACAGTAAAACCATTTCAGTTTCAGATTCTTTCTGCAATTCTTTCCGATTCTTTTCTTACATTGTTGTGCCAGTAGGTGGTGACAAGTTAAAATCACAATCAGTTATTAATTTGAATCACTCAACTGATTCGTTCAAAAACAGATTTTTTTTTTTTAAACGAAACAAGTGACTTTTATGAATGAGCTGATGATTCATTTACTCAACTGAATGATTCACCAGCCAATGGACCAGCCAATGGCTTTAATTCACTGCTGCAATGGCTTTGGTTTGAAACTATTTACATAGACCGAACAAAACAAATAACGGTCAACGGTTTAAGAAAACGGTCAGCGGTGTAAGAAAGTAGATCATGTTAGTGTTCACTTTAATTTAAAAAAAAACATCAATTGCAAAAAATGTATTGGAATTTGAAATAGACAAGCTTGTATTAGACATTATACTCTAAACCTCATGGTTAATGAGTTGTGTGACAACTAGCCCCAGTATCTTTTACAATAGTAGAAACATCGGTTTCATCTTATTGTCCTTTTATACACAGTCTGCTTGGACTTGTTGTGAAATTTCGTTTACATTCTGATAGCCTTACCCTCAAGCATAAAAGAATTTTATATTAAACTTTATTTTATTTCCAGTGTCAGGCCTTCAGTAATAAAGCCCAACCACCATTATATACAGAGATCTGATATCTCTCACAGCGACGAGATGTTAGTGGCCATGAAGTTTGGAAGGTTACCTGTACAATTACATCCACCCACCAGGCGTTAAATGCTCGTTTCTGTAAATGGCATCAAATCCACACACCACCTGCTGCACTTCCCATCATAATCAGTGTTGCTTTTACAACACCTCTCCACTTGTGCATGCTTCTTATAGCCAGACTTAATTACCTGCATAGAGCCTCATATCCTCATTGCAGTAGTTAAACATCCCAGTTATGCTGAATTTCTCGTTAAGTTCTCTTTAGAGTCTTTAAAAGCAAAGCATTTCAGAATATCTGGTGCTTTTCTTTCAGCTTTTCTCTTTGAGGATTGCCTTGACTGACAGCAACGGAAACCCTCCTGCTTTTTATTTCTCAAAAAGGGTGGCTATTTTATGATTTGAGGCTTAGCGTTCCTTTTGAGGGAATTATGGGCTGGCAGTTTCGTGGCATCTCTCTGTACCCATGCAGCTTGAATATTCAAAGTTAATGCCATTGGCCAGCCCGTTTGATCTTTGCTCATCTGCCTTTGAGAAGACGGAGAAGAGACAGGCAGGTCCCATACGGTCCCTGAAGAGAGATGTGTGGGTGTTCTTCCCCTCCCTCGCCTTCCACAGTAATGGCTCAAAAGACAGCATAGAGAATTAATTGAACATTTTCATTATTGGACAGCTCAGGTAATTACAGACAGTGTGAAGAGATGAAACACAGGCAAACACCTCAGTTATGGTTTATCTTTTGGAACAGGTTAGACAAATTACATCCTTCAAGTGTCCATGTACCCAGCAGACCAATGCAGGTGATGAGGGGTGGGGCCATCACTGCATTTCCCATCCTCTGATGGCTACTTCCAGCAGGTTACCATATCACAAAGTTCGAATCATTTCAAATTGGTTTCTTGAACATGACAATGAGTTCACTGTACTAAAATGGCCCCCACAGTCACCAGATCTCATCTTTGGGATGTGGTGGAACGGGAGCTTCGTGCATCCCACAAATCTCCATCAACTGCAAGATGCTATGCTATCAAAATTGGCCAACATTTCTAAAGAATGCTTTCAGCACCTTATTGAATCAATGCTGCGTAGAATTAAGGCAGGTCTGAAGGCGAAAGGGGGTCAAACACAGTATTAGTATGGTGTTCCTAATAATCCTTTTGGTGAGTGTATGTATATATACATATACATTAGTAGTTTGAAGTCCTATCATGCAGAAGAGTTCTCGAAGAGACTGAGGTCCTGGCTCAAATGGAGTACATTCGAGAGTCAAATCCTTTGAAAATCTTTTTAAATGCTAAGCAGAGAATCCCTGCCACAAAGGCTCATGGTGAAATGGCAAACTCAAAAGTCTTTGCCTAAAGAAAAATATCAAATTGGCATTCCTTTGAAAGCTTGAATAGAGATGTCCAATAATGCAGAGAATTCATTGCTGATCTAACCGGTGAGGATTCACACACATCAAAGAGCAGATAGAGCGAGCTTTTATTCGAACTATAGAGGCTGAAATAGAGACAGGCCTTTCATATTAAACACAATATCTAATGAGACTCCGTGTGTAGGTGCCATCAGATTGTGTAGCTTCCAGCGCTCGATTAGGAAAGGAGCCAGGGGGACCTGTATGAAATGAGTATGAAAGTTTTTCGAAAGTAAACACGCTGTTCTCATCCTGTTCAGACATCCCAGATGACCTGCTAATGAGCTGTAATGCATGATAAATGATACGAGGAAGTAATTAATTAAACATCGTGTTATGCATGTGTTTGCTAACATTTATTTTAACTAGTGCATTTTTGGGATAAAAGCTCACGTATTGGCATAAAAAAAAGGACAGTTCACCTAAAAACCATTTACTCTCCCTTTATTCCAAATCCCTTTATATGAGTTTCTTTCTTCTGTTGATCACAAAAGAAGATATTTTGAAGAATGTTATAACAGTTGACGATAGCCATTGACTTCCATAGTATATTCTTCCAACTATGAAAGTCCTATCCAAAGTTCTTCAAAATATCATCTTATGTGTTCAGCAGAAGAAAGAAATTCAATACAATTTGGAGCAAAGGGAGAGTAAATGACAGAATTTTCATTTTTTTTGGGTGAACTTTTCCTTTATAATGCCATGTTTTGAACTGAAGGTATCGGTCAGACGCATCGGACAGACAATAAAACCATGTTACCTGACAAAGCAAACAAACAATCCACACCTCAGTTTCATGGTTGGTTGGAATCCAGTTTTTAATAATGAAATGAACCATAAAAAGCACATTTAAAACAATTTCTCATTTTAGTTACAAAAATGGGTCACCTAAAAGGCCTTATCATTAAATTCACAGAAGGTTTTGAACAAAAAGAGGCCTAACAGATATGTATTTTTCCCATTAATAAAAAAAAAAAAAAAAAATCCCCACCCAAAATATATAAACTTAACTGTATAACCAAGGTATATACAGGGCACACCATACTTGCATCGGTATGGTTTTTTTTTCAAGAGAGATTGAGGTATACGACCGACCTACAACTGAAAAAACAAACAAATAACGAACAAAGATTAAATTAAAGCGAATGTCAAGATTACTTAAATCGAGCACAGGTTGCATGCGCTGTTGAATCTTCCTCTTGAGGTGTCCAGTGGGCCGAACTGCGAGCGACTTCGGTATGCTCAATATATACAAAGGACTTACATTACAATTAATAGTAGGGAACTGTTTGAATGCTGTCTTTTATTTGCTTAACAATAAGTACACAGTATTCATCCACAAAATATCATTATTTAATTCTTTATTTGTTCAGTTCTATAACTTATAAACGTTCGTGAGGGATTTGGAATTTAAGAGCCAGATGTAATTGTGATACACATGCAAGTTTTGAAAGTGGATTCAGAAACATCAACAATGTACAAAATAATAATTACAGTTTTTATTAAAATACATCCTCTTTCTCATAGCACCTCTTTTTTTTTCCTATTTTGAACAAGCACCATTGTTGTCGTCTTTTTTTGTTCTTTTTTTAAAAATTTATTTGTTTGCACTGCACCGATAGACTCCGGATGAGAGGTCCTCCCTTTCTCCAACTCGTGGACCTCCCAGGTTCACCGTTTGCCTTGGCTTGACGTTGTCCTTCACCTTTTGGTTCCATAACAGGTTTCATGTCATGTGATCCTTGCCCTACAAGGGCAACAAGTATTTTCCTGGGTAATACATACATAAATGGCAAGACGTGTTCGGTACCCCATTTTTTAAATTCAAAACTGGCATGTGGCAGGAACGGGCTCGATGGTTTGATGACGTCAAGAAAAAAAGTCTCGACTCGTGCGCTATACCCGTCCCTACCCTGCCAAGTTATTGGTATTTTTTTTTTCTTTGTCTGTGTTTTTTTAGCCAAGGAAGCAGACAGGACCAACTTCGAATCCAAATTTCTGGTTGGGATCCCCAAAGTCAGTGAAACTCACATCAACGATCGGAACCTGATCGATTTTGGGAGTGTTAATCTCCAGAACTGTCTTTCCGTAGCCCTTCCTCACCTGTGGGACGAGAACAAGACCATCAGAAGTGTGTTCGCATGTTTAAACAACTTAATGATTTGTCCGGATCTACGACGGAGGTCTTACCGCACAGCCGTCTGACAGGGCCGTGATGAAGGGGTTGTTGTCGTATGACATCTCCTCGTCATTGGAGCCGAGGAAGCGTAGCCCCCTGTCGTAGCGGTCCGTAGTGGCGTCGTGCCAGGCGACCGACTGGTGGCAGTTGTAGGTCAAGTTTTGCCTGGCGGAGGCTGTCAGTAGTTTGAGGAACGTCATCTGGACCATGTTTATCGGGTTGCCTTCTGCGTCCACGTACGAAAGCTTGAGGGTGAAAGCAAAAATGATAGAGACTCTTTTAAGGAACATTTAAGAATTTATTGAGCAGCAACAATTGTATTTGCCCCACCAAATATGTTTTTGTAAAAATGTTCAAGTAGGTAGATTTTATATTTACTTTATCCCTATTGTGGGGATATGTTTTTACCACAAAATCTGCATGACTCTTTAAAAAAGGGGATTGTATCCATTTCAGTAACATTGTTTCTGTTACTGTAAGCAAACATATAATATAATATAAATGTCCAGGTTTGTTGTATTAAGTTGCAATTTCATTTATAATCAGCTCTCATAAAATTAGGAAAAATAATAAAATATTATCCAATAATATATATGAAGAGTTCAGATGCAAAAGCCTCTAAATGCCATTTGAAATTTTCTTCTGTAATGATGATTTTTGTCGAACTTGTATATTTAAGTTCAGTAATTTCACTTAAATAACAATTAATAGGTAATTATCATTGCCATTTAAGTGAAATCACTGAACTTAAATATACAAGCTTGACAAAAATCATCATTAAAGAAGAAAATTTCAAATGGCATTTAGAGGCTTTTGCATCTGAACTCTTCATATATATATATATATATTATCCAATATTAACATTATGTGTTTAATGTTACGTTTGGTTTTCAAGCTTAAAATTATGCAAATGAATGCCCATGCATCTTCCTCACCATTTTAAATGATATAAAACTAGTATGTTTGCATAACTCATCTTGCACCACGTGATATCTGTAAATTAAATTTTTAATTACTTTTTCACCACATATTTGCACAAATTTAGTTTTCCCCTCATTTTCAATATACTGTGTGTGTATATATATATATATATATATATATATATATATATATATATATATTTTTTTTTTTACTTGTTTAGGTTTGTGATATTTTACTTGTGTTAATGTTTCGATGTATAACGAGTTTTAGTAATAAAATAAATGCAATGCGTACTGGATAGAATATAAAATAAACATGGTTAATTTATTATATTTTTAATACAATAATCAAGTACTTTTGTACTTTTACTCAAGTAAAATGGAAAATTAATATTTTACAAAGTTTTTTTAAAATTTCTTTTACTTGAGTACTTGATTTGTGTAGGTGTTAAGTGGTAAAGTGTGTGTAAGCGATTAAGCAAGTCACTTTTCACAGGCACCAATAAATGGTAAAGTTGGAAATATGAATAATTGAAAAATTATCGCTTCTGACAAAATATAAAACAGTTGGAACAGACACCAGAAACACAAAGCCGTTTGGTCTCACAGAGGTGCCTTCAAAACTCTCCACTGCATCAAATATGAATGCGGTGTGTATGTATGTGCTCATTTGTGTTTGGCGTATGAGTGTTTGTTCGGCTTGTTGATGGATCCAGGGCTGCGGTGACAGCTTCTTTTAAAAGCCGAGCTCTTACTGGGGTCTGCCCAACAGTTGAGTAAAAAAAAAAGATGAGGCAGAGCACTCAGGTTCTCTTAGTTTCGAAGGACAAGATGTTTTTCATAAAGGAGTAGATGAAAGCAGGATGAGAAAGTGCACTTACTATTTTGCCACGCTTAAATTCACTGAACCAGGAGCCAGGAACTTCTTTGGGCCATGAAGATAGTCTCACCTTAAAGACGACACAAAGAAAACGGAAAAAGACTTGCTGTGTGAAAAGTTTTGAAAAGAGCAAACTTGCTTCAGCAGAAAATAAAATCAAATTAAACCCGGCTATTTTTCATACAGCAGCAAATCTCTCACTGAAATGACTGCTCTGTTCAACACAGCATGAGAAAAGCAGATTATTTTAATATTGAGAATGAGGTTTCCAATCAAATGCGATCTAATATGAATATTGTTCTGATCTTTTGGGTTTAAGTGCACAAATACACATAGTGATAGTGTTGGACAGACACTCGAACAGTTTAAAAAAAATGTCCTGAGCTCATATTTTACTCCAAAGTCAAAAGACAAAAACTTGTATAAATCCTATTTGCAAGATCATGTAGTTGTTTTACAGTTCTTTTGTGCTATTTTTGTAAATTACGGACATTCCCCCCCCCCCCTGTATTGTCACTGGTGTATATGAAAAAAAAATTGTAAAGTCTTTGTATATTGTAGTAGTATCTGTTTTATTGCTTGTTAATATGAATTAAATATATATATATATATATGAAGAGTTCAGATGCAAAAGCCTCTAAATGCCATTAGAAATTTTCTTCTTTAATGATGATTTTTATCAAACTTGTATATTAAAGTTCAGTAATTTCACTTAAATAACAATTAATAGGTAATTATCATTGCCATTTAAGTGAAATCACTGAACTTAAATATACAAGCTTGATAAAAATCATCATTAAAGAAGAAAATTTCTAATGGCATTTAGAGGCTTTTGCATCTGAACTCTTCATATATATATATATATGTGTGTGTGTGTTCTTTATTGTCAATATTGTTGAAATGTGAGAGTAAAAAAAATAATATAGTCTATTGTGATGTATAATTAGTATATATATATATATACTGATATAAAAATAGTTAAATAAATAGATTTCTAAATATCACTCCTCCAATAACCAACAGTAAGAATAAGAAAACATCTCTTTGATGTGACTTCTCAAATCTCACATGGTCTTTATGAGAACCCTATTGTATGTGACAGAGGTAAGATGATGTGATCATATCTGGCTGTTATTGGCTAGCTCTTCCTCAGGGGAATGAGTTTCAGAATGCCACTCACTCCATTTGACTTTTTATCGGGGAAGATGCAGGTCTCGCCTCCCGCTGTGAAGTTGCAGTACACTTTAAAGGAGTCCCCAGAGCATCCCTGGTTGGGATCGATGTAGTATTCACCTGAGGGAGGAAACCCATCAGACATCATGACAGATACAGTATAAACTTCAAAGAAATCATTTAGATCATAAATGAAGGGTTTTTTTTTTTTAATTCCTTTTTTCAGCAAAAAAACAACAACAAAACACTCTGAATGGGCATCAGCTGTGGCGATGCCTTGTGTAAATAAAATAGCAGGCTAATGCGATTGAGGTAAAACCAGCTCTAAAGGTCACTGTAAGAGCTGGCATTTTGTAAGCCATGATTTGGGAGTGAGAGGTTAGCTCCCGCTGGAGTCCGCAGAATGCTAAACATCTTCCCAATCAGCCGTCGGCGGCTGCTGTTGTTATTCAAATCTCCCGAGTGACGGGTTTGGAATTTTAGAAGCACAGCCAATACCTACTGAGAGTGGATACAGAGATTTATCTGTTCAAGACCGTCTCCTTTACCTCCCACCTTGCTCACTTACCATCTGGGAATTCTGGGTGAGCGAGCTGAAGGTCTTTACAGCTTCGTGCGGGGTTGTGTTGCGTGCCCATGGGGTACTTCATGCGCTCGATGTCCTGTTTGAGATTATTCAAAGAGCTGAAGATGTCCTCCATGCCCTCTCCGTAGTCCAGCATGGTGCCGGCTTCGTCCGCTTGCATGTCGATGGAGCGACGGGACTTCTTGGGCGAGTGGATAGGCAGAGGCTGGATGATCTCACCAGGAGGACCCTATGGAATGAGGAAAATTAGTGTGTATCCATGAGCCTCTAGCATTTTACAGTATATAATAAAAATCTCCTTGAAGCGTGCAAAAGTTCACTTACAGGAGGACCAGGAGGTCCGGACGTGCCAGTGTCTCCCTTTTGACCAGCGGGACCCTGCAGGAAGATGATTTAAATATCATGAGCGCGTTTTCTGACATTATTATAACAAGCGTATCAAATGGATCGGCGTTAAAGTGGTACTTACAGTCGAACCCTTGGATCCCTTTGGCCCTTGTGGACCCTGAAGGAAAATCGAAATGCATTCTGTGAAAACTGACTAAAATTGAGCTTGGTGAAAACAGTTAGAATTCTAAAATTTAGAATCTTAGAATTTAGAAAATTTAGAATAAACATTAGAATTTGTAACATTATAATAATTTATCAGTAATATGTATCAGTTCAACACACACTACTGTCCAAAGGTTTGGGGGTCTGTTTGATTTTTTTTACGTTTAAAGAAGTCTCTCCATTGCTGCATTTATTTGATAAAAAATACAGTGAAACAGTAATATTGTCAAATATGATTACAATTTGAAATAATTGTTTTTTTTATTGTAATATATATTTTAAGATATAACTTATTCCTGTAATGAGAATGCTTAATTGTGACCCTGGATCACAAAATCAGCCACAAGTTGCACGGGTACGGTATATTTGTGGCAATAGCCAACAATATATTGTATGGGTCACTCAAAATTATCGATTTTTCTTTTATGCCAAAAATCATTAGGATATTAAGGAAAGACCATGTGCCATGAAAATGATTCTATAAATTAATTAAAATGTTTCTATTAAATATAAATCTTTTGTAACATTATAAATGTCACCAATTTAATTTGTCCTTGGTTTTATAATTTATATAAGTTTTTAAATCTTACTGACGGTAAACGTTTGAACGGTAGTGTATGTCAAAAGTATGACTCGTACATATTTAAATAGTGGATACAGTTAAAATTGACTGCTGAGGTGGGGCAGACCAAAATCATGATTTTAAAAGTGGAAAGACATTGATGTGTTTAAATATATTTTTCAAAAGATCTCTCAAAATAGTTCTCTTAAAAAAAACTGTGATGCTTTAAATAATAGGCAATGTGACACCATTTTTTTAACTTGGTGCCATACAGTTTGACTTTGACGATAACACTGAATGCAAGATGCAAGACTCACGGGCAATCCAGGAGGACCAGGTGGACCAAGCGGACCAGCAGCACCACTGATACCCTACAGTTTAAAGAGCAGATGGTCAGAAAGCAGAACTTCTTATGATTGATATGTAAAGATGTTGATCAGCAGAAATTCAAACATCTGTGTGAGCTGACGAGTTTGATATTCTCTCTAAGATTTGTCTTTAAAAATTACATGAAAACGACTCTTGGTCATCTATTCCTCTAGTTTGTATTACACACTGATCATTACACTTCATTAGAGTCAAGGACTTTTGAGTTAATTCTGTGGGGAGAAATTCAGCCTCCGTTACTAAACTCAGCAACAGATCGCAAATCTGTCCGGCGGGAAACGTTAGTGAGATGGGAAACGTTTTTCGATTTTCTTTTTTTTTCCAAACTCACAGAAGGGGAGACTACAATTTCATTAAGCTAAATCGTAATACGTTTAAAGCTGCATTGCTTTAAACCACTGAGCAAGGGTCATAGCAAAGGCCAATGCAAATTCTAATTGATTATTCAATCAACTTTTAAAGGTTTTCTATATATTTGCTGATTGCACTGGATATGTGTTGCATGGTTCTTCAACGAGGCAAAGAAAGACAAACATTTCGCAGTTTGACTGTGAAAAAATGTAATCGCACTGGTGTTTGATGGGACCGTCTGGCGTAATGGAATTACTGCTGGCTCCGAGGACCTTTCATGACAGCTTCATCCATAACACGATTATGATGATGTACACAGATGCAATAAGTGCAGACGTTATTGTTTCAGTCGGTCGCTACTTTAATTTGCAAGCATTACAGGAGAAATCCTAATAGGTGCGCTGCTGGAGGTACCACATTTGTTGTGTGGTGGGTTAGAAAGGACAAATAAATCATTAGTGACTCACAGAATCACCCTTGCTGCCAGCGGCTCCCTGAGGACCAGGCAAACCACGATCTCCCTTCTCTCCCTGCTCACCGGGGGGTCCGATGAGGCCGATGAGACCGGGGTGACCCTGGAGGAAAAGATGTCACAGATCAGAACGTCAGTTGATGTTCGAAATGTACAAAGAATTACATAAGCATAACCAAACCATCAAAGACTTTACATAACACTAGAGACCGTTAACACCAAGTACGATAAGAATAGAAGAGTCCAAACGATATAACGATAACATCAGAGAAACGATATCGATGGAATCACGTTTAGAGCGATTTTTCACAGCTGAGTGAGGAACTAAAGAAGTAATAATGCACTTAAAAATAAACAGAATGTTATCGTCCGCTGGTGTGGTCGCTAATATAATTATTGTTATAGTTATTGTTCTTTGTGTGAATGGGCCTTAAGGTTAATTGACTTGTATGAAAAAAAAATTGAAATAAATGACAAAATATATATTAAAAAAAGGAAAAACCTGAAACGTCTCGGTTACGTATGTAACCCTCGTTCCCTGAGTAAGGGAACGGAGACGTTACGTCAGAAGTGACGGAGATTGGGGGTTTCGCATAGAAAGCCAATCCTCTTCGAGTATTAAAACACGAGCCAATGGCATGCAATGCCTTGGGGCTGCGGAAATTTGCATAGCGTACTCCGCCCTACTCCGTGAGTATAAAAGGAGGAAGTGAACGCAACCGCAGTATGTCTTCGCTGAGGAGCCAAGACTGAACTCGGCCTCTACCCAGCGATACAGCAGAAGTGGCAGGGAGACGTAACGTCTCCGTTCCCTTACTCAGGGAACGAGGGTTACATACGTAACCGAGACGTTCCCTATCGTAGTCACTTCGAGTTACGTCAGAAGTGACGGAGATTGGGGGTCTGTGCCATCACGCCATCTTCAAGCTGTCTTCCAGTGCCCTGCGAAAGACTGAACCCCCGAGCCTTACCTCTTTTTTTTTTTTTTTTTTTTTTGGGGATCCGACTTTGACACAGGATTACCAAGGTACACTGGGAAACATATCCCGAAGGGGACATGCTACCAGCTGCCTACCGAAGGGAGGACTTAAGAATACACATATGGCCACATAGGGACACATATGGAACACTGGAGTACCAACCGCAGGTGGCTACTGATTTAAACTCCAGGGGTGGCAGATGGCTTGCCAAGGGAAGACACATGCTCAGAGAGGCTTACAGTGGATAATACACATGAGACGGTTACCATGGGGAACCGTGCGCATGGAGGCACCTAGCTAGCATCCAGAGCCACGCAGTGGTGCCCGCATCGTCGGTGCTGGAGGACTCAAGACTTCAAAGGAAGAACTGAGGAATATCGCACTTATCCAGTCCGGGGAGTGGAGTGGCGAGCAAGCGAAGACACCTGAGCGGATCCAGAACTGGCCGAAACGAGTACGTGAGAGGATACCGGCTCAATTCGCAGATTATAGAATCTGGCGAAGGTGTTGGGTGTCGCCCAGCCTGCAGCTCTGCAGATGTCTGTTAGCGAGGCGCCGTGCGCTAAAGCCCAAGAGGAGGCTACACTCCGAGTGGAATGGGCCGTCACACCAAGGGGGCACGGAAGGCCTTGCTGCTGGTAAGACAAAGCAATGGCATCCACTATCCAGTGGGACAGCCGTTGCTTTGAGAGAGCCCTTCCCTTCTGGCTCCCTCCATGACAGACAAAGAGCTGGTCTGAGGTCCTGAAACACTGCGTTCTGTCGACATAGGTGCGGAGAGCACGTACCGGACAGAGCAGTGCCAAGGCTGGGTCTGCCTCCTCCGGGGGCAGCGCTTGCAGGTTCACCACCTGGTCCCGGAAGGGAGTGGTGGGAACCTTGGGCACATATCCAGGCCGGGGTCTCAGGATCACGTGAGAGTAAGCCGGCCCGAACTCCAGGCACGCTTCGTCAACGGAGAATGCGTGCAGGTCCCCCACCCTCTTGATGGAGGCCAATGCAACCAGGAGTGCTGTCTTCATGGACAGAAACTTTAACTCTACTGATTGCAAAGGCTCAAAGGGATGCCTCTGCAGAGCACTTAAAACTACCGAGAGGTCCCAAGAGGGTACGAGGGGAGGACGAGGCGGATGCAGCCTCCTCGCTCCCCTCAGGAACCTGATGACCAGGTCGTGCTTCCCTAAGGACTTACCTTCCACTGCTTCATGAGAAGCGGCAATGGCCGCGACGTAAACCTTAAGGGTGGAGGGCGACAGCCTGCGCTCCAACCCCTCTTGCAGGAAGGAAAGCACGATACTGATCGAACATCTCCGGGGGTCTTCTCCGCGAGAAGAGCACCAATTGACGAAGAGGTTCCACTTCAACGCATAAAGGTGTCTCGTGGACAACGCTCTTGCGGAAGTGATGGTTGCCGCCACCGCAGGTGGCAGCGAACTCAAACCTGCCTCGTCCCGTCCAGGAGCCACACGTGCAGCCTCCAGAGATCGGGACGAGGGTGCCACAGAGTGCCCCGTCTCTGAGAGAGTAGGTCTTGTCTCAGAGGAATAGGCCAAGGAGGTGCTGCCGCGAGGAGCATGAGATCGGAGAACCACGTCTTGGTGGGCCAGTAGGGGGCTACCAGCAAGACCTGCTCCTCGTCCTCCTTGATCTTGCACAACACCCGTGCAAGGAGGCTCACTGGGGGAAACGCATACTTGCGTGGGCCCCGTGGCCAGCTGTGCGCCAGCGCATCCGAACCGAGAGTGCCCCAGGTCAGAGAATAAAACTGGGCGCAGTGGGCTGAGTCCCGGGAGGCGAACAGATCTATCTGTGCCTCCCCGAACTCTTTCCAGATCAGCTGGACCGACTGGGGATGGAGTCGCCGGAGATAGGGCGGACCCGAGACAGCTCGTCGGCTGCCCAGTTCCGGTCTCCAGGAATGTGAACTGCACGAAGGGACCTCAGGTGCTTCTGACTCCATATCAAGAGGTGGCGGGCGAGCTGCGACAACCGGCGCGAGCGTAGACCCCCCTGGTGGTTGATGTACGCTACAGCCGTAGTGTTGTCTGAGCGGACAAGCACATGCTGGCCCTTGAGCAACGCTCTGAAGCGGTGCAGGGCGAGCCGTACTGCCAGCAGCTCGAGGCAATTGATGTGCATGAGGCGCTGGGCCCCCGTCCAGGAGCCGGCGGCTGCATGCCCATTGCACATGGCACCCCAACCCGTGGTAGATGCATCCGTGGAGACGATGAGATGCCTGGAAACTCGCTGAATAGGGACGCCCGTCCGTAAAAAGCTGAGGTTCGACCACGGGAAGAAGGTTCGCCGGCATGTCGGAGTCACTGGGACTCGGAGCGAGCCGCGATGCCATGCCCACCTCGGGACTCGATCGCGAAGCCACAGCTGAAGCGGTCTCATATGAAGCAAACCGAGCGGCGTTGCCGCGGATGCCATATGCCCCAGGAGCCTCTGAAAAAGTTTCAGTGGAACCGCACTCTTGCCCTCGAACTGACGAAGACAAGTCAGCAGTGAGTGCGCGCGCTCGATCGTGAGCTGCGCGGACATGGCGACCGAGTCTAACTCCACGCCGAGAAAAGAGATCCTCTGCACGGGGCAAAGTTTGCTCTTTTCTCGGTTGACCCGAAGGCCCAGACGGGCTAGGTGCCGGAGCACCAAGTCTCTGTGTTCGCAAAGCTGAGCTCGAGAGTGTGCTAGTATCAGCCAGTCGTCGAGATAATTCAGGATGCGAACCCCGTGTTCGCGAAGGGGAACAAGGGCTGCCTCGACGATCTTCGTGAAGACGCGAGGGGACAGAGCTAACCCGAATGGGAGAACGGCGTACTGAAATGCCTGGCCCTCGAAGGCAAACCGAAGAAACGGTCTGTGTCGAGGTAAGATGGACACATGGAAGTACGCGTCCTTCAGGTCGATCGCTGCAAACCAATCCTGATACCGAACACATTCGAAAATGCGTTTGGCCGTGAGCATTTTGAACGGTAGTCGATGGAGAGAACGGTTCAAAACGCGCAGGTCCAGGATCGGTCGTAACCCACCGGTCTTCTTGGGGACAATGAAGTAGGGGCTGTAAAACCCGGACTCCACCTCGGCTGGAGGGACCGTCTCGATTGCACCCTTCGCCAGCAGGGTCGCAATCTCCGCTCTCAGGACTGGGGCATTGCCACCGACTATCGTGGAGCGAACTCCCCTGAAACGGGGAGGAGACCGTGCGAACTGAATCGCGTAGCCGAATCTGATCGTTCTGATGACCCAGCGGGATACCCCGGGAAGCGCTAGCCAGGCTTCCAGGAAGTGAGCCAACGGGGTCATGTGAACCACAGACGTCCCCCCGGAGGGGCAGCGTGGCGGGTCGACTGGCACGCGTGCAGGGGTTACCCCGCTCGGATGCGTCGAAGCCCGCTCCCCGACAGAAGGGACCAGGGAAAGCGGAGCGTTCCACGGGGGTCCGTTCTGCCGGGGGTCTGGCGAGAGAGGGGGAAGGGATTGGTGTAGCCCGGGGACGACACACGCACCCTTCCGCGCCCTCCGAGACAGAGAGGAGTGAGTGGGCCGACACCCTGGGGCATCGGGGGCACTCACTCCAGTCTGTGAGCTCAGTGAGGATGTCAAGTCTTTCTTTAACCAGTTCAGGGTGCTGCCCACCCGTGGGTGAGCAGCGGGGAGCTGAGAACAAAAGATTCTCCCCCGGCCCTCCACCGGGGGAAGGAGGGGGCCTGCTACCGCCTCCTGTGAAAGACTCGAGATCGTCACTGAGCGGCCCGTGTCAGGATCTTCGCTTGGCCTGGCGTTTAGCGGGGCGAGCGGCCTGAGGGGGCTGTGACGCCGGCCTGCGGCCTCCTCGACGCCGGGGCCCGGGTGAAGGCTGCTGCTGGGGCCGGGCGGGAGGGAGGGGAGCCGCAGGGGGGCGTCCTCGGCGGCGAGCAGGGGGAGGCGCCTGTGCCGACGACTGGGTGGAGGCAGCAGCTGGTCGTCGGGGCAGGATGTGTTTGATGGCCTCCGTCTGCTTCTGGGCGGTGGAGAACTGATGGGCGAAGTCCTCGACCGCACCGCCGAAAAGGCCAACCTGGGACAGCGGAGCGTCGAGCAGACGAGTCCGCTCAGCGCTCCGCGTATCCGACAGGTTGAGCCACAGATGACGCTCCTGAACCACGCTAGTGGCCATCACCTGACCAACGGCGCGAGCAGCCACTTTCGTTGCCCGGAGAGCAAGGTCAGTGGCGGACCGCAGTTCTTTGAATGCCGTCGTGTCAGTCCCGCCCTCGTGCATGTCTCTGAGCAACTTCGCTTGGAAGACCTGCAAAGTGGTCATAGCATGCAGAGCGGAGGCCGCCTGTCCCGCCGCTCTGTAGGATCGCGCCGCCATAGCAGACGAGAACCCACAGGCTTTGGATGGGTGCTTAGGAGGACCACGGGTGGAGGCGCTCTGTGGACACAGCTGCATCGCAACAGAGCGCTCCACCGGGGGCATCCCAGTGTACCCACGGGCGGCCCCGCCGTCGAGGGGGGAAAGGCGGGGGAGAGATCGCGCTCTCGAGTGGACAAAGGAGCCCCCAAGAGCGCGACAACTCCGCATGCAGCTCGGGGAAAAAAGGTATTGGAGTCGGCCGTGGCTTCGCAGCGGCAGCCTTGTCCAAAAACCAATTATCCATCCGTGAGAGGTCGGGGCAGGATGGAGGTTTCCATTCTAGCCCGATACTCCCAGCGGCTCGAGACAGCATGGCCGTCATCTCGGGATCTGACGCGGACAACGCTGGGACTCCCGAAGGAGGCAACGCAGCCGGATCTTCCTCTCCCGAGGAATCAAGCCCGCCTAGTGATGCTGTGATAGACATCGCATCATCATCTGGGGCGCTGCTCGAAGCAGCCGGTGCCGCCGAAGAGACAACCGACCGAGTCGAACTAGCGCCCGCTGGCTCACGCACTGAGGCGGGAGGTGTGGCCCGAGGAATCGTCGGGGCTTTATCCCACACCGTCACCGTTAGATCGCCCGGTCCCCGGGTCGACGGGCCCCCTCTCGTGAAGGAAGCCGATCGAGTAGGGGGGACCGGGGCTCTCACTCTAGTGAGATCATTGAGCCGCGACCTCAGTGTGGAGATGGTCATGGTCCCACAGAAGGAACATGAGTCATCCACGAACGCTGCTGCTGCATGCTGAATGCCCAAGCAAACAAAGCAGCGTTCGTGACCATCAGATGACGACAGAAATCTACCACATCCAGAAGGGCACGGGCGAGCCATCTTTAAAAAGACGTGCCGCGTGCAGCTCTTTTACAGAGAGGAGAGAAATTCACTCTTTCAGCGCTGAGGCTACCAGGGAGAAGCGCAAAGTCTGGCAAACCACTGCACAGATCGCAGGCAATGCAGAATCTCGCTGGGTACCGCCGTCACACCAACACTGAAGAGGACGCTCGTCTCGAAGAGTCTTGAATCAGCTTTGAGGAGTGAAGAGGTTCTCTTGGCTCCGAAGCGAAAACATACTGCGGTTGCGTTCACTTCCTCCTTTTATACTCACGGAGTAGGGCGGAGTACGCTATGCAAATTTCCGCAGCCCCAAGGCATTGCATGCCATTGGCTCGTGTTTTAATACTCGAAGAGGATTGGCTTTCTATGCGAAACCCCCAATCTCCGTCACTTCTGACGTAACTCGAAGTGACTACGATAGGGAACTAAACTGCATGAATATTTGAAATTAGTATATACATTTTCATGGCCTAAAAAACAAAAATTATATATATATTAGTGCTGTCAAACGATTAAAATATTTAATCGCGATTGTTTAATTATGATTATGATTAATCACAATTAAACACATTTTTATCTATTCTAAATGTCTCTTGATTTCTTTTTGTCCCATTATTTTTTTTCTAATTTTAATGCTCTTATCAACATGAAAAAGTGGATCGGCTTGCTTTGTGCAAATGTTTTTTTTTTTTTTATTTTTTATTGAAAACAACATTGACAACTTCGCATTAGCTGTGTGTGTGCTTGGCCATCAATGATAGCTCAGTTCACAATGACAAAAAAAAAAATCTGGCAACTTTTTAAAATTAAACTTTTAATTCAGAATCTTATTGACATCCATTTCGGCGTCTCGCGCTCGTCATCCACTCAAAACGTAACGGTAACCTACTGTTTGGCGGGCTCGCAACAACTGTATTTCCGGTCTAGCTAGATCCGGTGCTTTCAGACAGGACGCGGTATGCGCCACGCTACGCCAGTTTTCAAAAATTTTTGGATGCCCTAAAGTTTCTATTGGCCATGATGGTCATCACAGTGGCAAAATTTGAACTATTTTGAATTTAGACCACGGTGTGCGGTTTAGCCATTGAAATGAATGGGTTTCATAAAGCAACGCTGCGCCCGCATCCTGTTGCAAAAGCATGTTAAAAAAAACTACAAAGGTTACATCATGGCCAAAAAGACTGTTAATCTTGCAATTAAAAAAATAATCGTGTTAAAATGGGTTTTGCGTTAACGCCGTTAACTGACAGCCCTAATATATATATATAAACAAATTGTGACACAAAGAGACAAAAATAAACTTCATATTTATATTCTTTTATAAATATGATTAAATGCCCAAGAAAATAATCAGTAAGCACTTCATAAAGGATTCCTAAATGTCTAAAAATGAAGCAAAAACTTCTGGATATTATACTGAAACTTTTCCCCTGGCTTCCTGGAGTGGAATGACCTAGTCTAGTCTTTATCTTTGACATTGAGCCTCTTTGAAAGCATATTAATAAAAATGTCAGGAAAAGAAATAGAATGTCACTCACCTTCTCACCCTTAGAGCCAGGGTCTCCTTTCAGGCCAGGGAGACCAGGAGGTCCCTAAATATCAGAGAACTAACAGTGAGAATTCAATTTGCACACATATACCCACATGTACACGCACACACAGAAAAGAGAGAGAGGATAAAAGGTGGACGGAAAGAACGAGCAAAAGGGAATGGGGTCTCTCCTCTTACCATTGGTCCTGGAGGACCGTCTTGTCCAGGAGCACCAGGAAGTCCTTGTTCACCCTGTGCATCCAATTACAAAAGCCATTATTGCATTGTTTTTTGCTTATGGTCTGCCATTAATTTACACTGTGCTGGAGAGTGATTAATAGCCCAGATACTAAAAAGTATTTAATAGACAAGAGAAAGATACAGATAGGAGATTTATTATTCTGTGAATTGAGGTGTTTCATATAATTCTATTCCTGTGTGTGTGTGTATTTAAGATATTCAGTGGCCATACAAATAATTTAAATACTTAAAAGTGTATGAATGCCATTGCTTGCTTGGCCGCAGAATCATAGTTCACCCAAAAATTCAAATTCAGTTTTTACTCACCCTCATGTTGATCCAACCCCTTAAGACCTTCGTTTTAATTAAGATATTTTATTTTAAGATAACAAATTAAGATATTTTTGATGAAATCTGAGAGCTGGATCACTCCTCCATAGGCTTCTTAAGGGATTGAAGCTTGTTCCCCGAAAAGTTATTAAAGACACCGTTAAAATAGTCTGAATGAGTACAGTGGCTCAATCCTAAATTTATCAAGCGGTGAGAATACTTTTTGTGCTCAAAAACAAAACAAAACAAAAATAACGACTTTTTTCAACTATTAATTTCCTTCTCTGTGGGCCTCACGTGAGTTCACTAGTGTAACACATAAGCTTCTGTTGTTGTACGTCACACACATCACACACGACCAGCATCGGCCAATAGTGAGCCTATGTGTGACGTAGCTCTAAGCTATCACGCTACGTTAACTGACTAGAGGCCCAAAGAGAAGTAAATGAATAGTTGAAATGAAGTCGTTATTTTTGTTTGTTTTGCGCTCAAATAGTATTCTCATCGCTTGATAAAGTTAAGATTGAGCCACTGTAGTCTTTTGGACTATTTTAATGATGTCTTTAATAACTTTTCGAGGCCGGCAAGTTTCAATCCCTCAAGAAGCCTATGGAGGAGTGATCCAGCTCTCAGATTTAATCAAAAATATCTTAATTTGTATTCCAAAGATGAACGAAGGTCTTATGGGGTTGGTACAGCATGAGGGTGAGTAATTAATGACTTAATTTTCATTTTTGGGTGAACTAACCCTTTAAGATTGAGCCACTGTAGTCACTTGGACTATTTTAATGATGTCTTTAATAACCTTTCGGGGCCGGCAAGTTTCAATCCCTTAGAAGCCTATGGAGGAGTGATCCAGCTCTCAAATTTCATCACAAATATCTTAATTTGTATTGCGAATATGAACGAAAGTCTTATGGGGTTGGAACAACATGAGGATGAATAAATACTGACAGAATTTTCATTTTTGCGTGAACTATCCCTTTAAGTCCACGCAAAAGCACCAAGTATTGGCAGTGGCGAGTAGTAATCTGTTAGAACTACTGAGAAAATGCCAAGTCACATAATTAATATTCATCAGCATAGCTAGAAAAAGTTTAGAGAAAAGGTCAAGCATCATTTGTTTGCAGATGCTACCTGGTTTTCAAATTCACAGTACTTTTAGTGTATCCTAAGTGTTCTAAAACGATTTTGGGCCATTGTATTTATGTGTATGTATAATGGTGGAATGATTGGGTGATGAGTGACATGGGGACCCACCACAGGCCCGGGGATTCCTCGTAGACCTTCAGGACCAGGCTTTCCAGCGGGACCCTGAGGGCCAACTGGTCCAGTTTTACCTGGTGGACCCTCAGATCCTGCCTCACCCTGAAGATAAGGAGGAAAAGAGAGGATTATAGAAATTATAATATAATGCATGAAGTCGGCATGCAATTCTCACTGAAATATCACTGATAAAGACAGAAAAAATGTTTTTTACTGTATTTGTAATCAAATACAGCCTCAGTAAGAATAAGAGACTTTCAGATTTTCACGATTAACTGCCTCCAAAAGATTATTGAGATTATTAATCTTACTACTCTCAATTTAATAATAAGTTTGTGTTTACATAATATACTGTATGTGTGTGTGTACTGTGTATAATTATTTTGAATAAATATGCACACATGGATGTATATATATGAGAAATGTCTGCATGCATATACTGCATATCTGGTTACATATACTTCATATATATGAATGTTTGTGTGTATTTATATATACAAAATAATTATACACAGTACACACATTTTATGTAAACACAAACTTTTATTTTGGATGTGATTAATCGTTGCACAGCCCTATATATAACATAATATAATGTAACATAATATAGACTAACAAACCTTAAAAACATTACATTATAAATCTCTGTATGGTTTCGCAATTTAGACCACGGGTTCAGTTGATGAACAACCTACACACTTCAATCCCACAGTGACGATGTATCCACATGTATTAACAGTGAGTCACTCTGTCAGAGATGTTCTTTCTCCCATGGCTCGCTGTGCTTTAATTATGGCAGTGGAGGCTGCAGTATGTGCCTGAGCTGAATTGATTTGGAATGATACGTTACCTTGGCGCCCTTCTCTCCTTGTCTGCCTTCAGCTCCAGCGGTCCCCGGGGGTCCCTGCAGACAGAGAAGAGGACATTGTATTTGAGCATTTTTCTCTGCTGGGCTATAAAACAAATGGGAAAAAGGTCACAGTGAGACATCATGGTAGCACTTGGAGGAACTTGCCTGACGGTTACATATTGGCAAATGGATCCACTTTCATTTTTCGAAGGTTTTTTTTGCATAAGCATACATTCATTCATATTCGTAAAGGTGACCGGGGCTAGTTGTCAAATTATATATTTTTTTAAAACTATTATATCAATAAAAAACCACAAAACAATTCATGATGAAACATGCAAAAATTTTCAATATAATACAACAATAAATAAATAATAAATTCGAATAGAACATATGGCAACTTGAAAATGTATGAAAAATATCCTTGTGACCAACTCAACGTGGACAGGCTATACAACTCCAACACTTATCTGTTTTTATTTTATTTTTGAAATATTCATTTATCAGCCATTATAACTGCCGATACCGATAGTTTGGAAAATGCCTAATATCGGCCGGCCGATATATCGGTCTGGCTCTGAATTTAATTTTTATCTCTAAGATAAAACCTGACAGTCTCCACTGCATCATTTTTCATATGTAAATTTAGAAGCGCAAGGAAGAAATCAACTAGGCTAATGACATTTGGAAGCTTCACCATATTAAAATAATTCCCAAGATGCTTAATAGTCTAGGGACTGTCTCATGGGTCCAAGACTGAACAGAGTCCAAGAAATAAACAGAGAGAGAGAATAAGCAAGGGAATCTCCATATTCATTTCCAACTGCGGTCTGCAAACTGCTGAGAAAGCAGAACGTCTCTGTGTTTGATGCAAAATAAGCTCCAGCCAGAATTATTGATGCAGGGGACTTAATTCCACGAGATCAGTCTTCCTGCGACCGTCTTCCTCTCGCAGGATTAAAACACCTTTGCTGATGAAATGGCAGTTCGTCAGCCATTGCTATCCGTGTGTATTGATAGGGTGTATAATTTTCCCTGGGAGAGCTCCATCAAGCATATTGGGAAGGCGAGTGGTGTTTTCTCCACATTTTGCATGAATAATGGATGTGTGAGCAGAGATGCCATAAAGCTTTATGGAGGAATAATGGGATAGCACAGTGTTGCTTGGGCTGGCTAATAAAATTCAACCAGGACTGCTTCCCTCATAGCAAGACAGTTTGTGGCCTCGAGGGGCTTCAAAAGCGTCCGGCAGTTGTTTACACCTGGTATTAACATCCGTCCCATGTGATCTGCTCAAAATTGGTACACTAAATAAATACCAAAACATCAGAAACATGTGACCACAGTGAAGAGCCACCTACTGGCATGTCAATCAACCATTGCCGATTGCACAAAATAGGTTAACCATAACCAAAAAACTTAAAGGAGTAGTTCACTTTAAAAAAAAAACTTTTGCTGATAATTTACTCACCCCCATGTCATCCAAAATGTCCATGTCTTTCTTTCTTCAGTCGAAAAGAAATTAAGGTTTTTGATGAAAACATTTCAGGATTTTCTCCATATAATGGACTTCGGAACGGTTCAAGGTCCAAATGAGAGTTTCAGTGCAGCTTCAAAGGGCTTTAAACGACACCAGACGACAAATAAGGGTCTTATCCAGCAATCGAACGATCGGCCATTTAAAAAATAAATAAAAAAAGTTTAAGTTTTATAAGCACAAATGCTTGCCTTGCTCTGTTCTGTGATGAGCGTTCGTGAAAATGAACGAATCTTTTTTCGAGTCAAGGATCCTAGATTAGACCCTTATTTATCGTCTGGTGTCGTTAGAAGCCCTTTGAGGCTGCACTGAAACTCTCATTTGGACCTTGAACCGTTTGGTTCCCAATGAAGTCCATTATATGGAGAAAATCCTGGAATGTTTTCATCAAAAACCTTAATTTCTTTTCGACTGAAGAAAGAAAGACGTGGACATCTTGGGTGACATGGGGATGAGTAAATTATCAGCAAAAGTTTTTTGTGTTTCTTTGACCTTTCCACATTAAAATTTGGAAAGTCAAATTTTAAACGTTCAATTATATGACATTGTACATCAGTGAAGATCACAAACAATCAACTGCAAGTTCAGTGTAAACGCAATCTAGTGCAAAAGACAAAATTCAATTATATTCCACTTGCTAGTTCAGATAGAGTGTTGTGAGAAATTCAATATAAATAGAAAAAGTGAACTTTTTCCCTCTTCTGTAAAATGAGTTCTTTTCGTGACCAGTGAAACTATATTTTCTGCAAGGCTATGAGGTTTCATTTGGCTGAACAAATTTCTTTTCATGTGGCAGTGGGAGAGGATTTCCAATTCCTGTCCTGAATGTGACAGTTATATTTCCTCTTCCTCTGTAACATCCTTTACACCGCTGTCCCCTCATCACTGTCACTCAAACAGGCCCGGGATCAATATAACGTCTCGACTGATTTTCTACTTTCATCCTGAGAGAGATGTAGGACTACAGTGGAGGAAATGAGTTCTGGCTCTGACGCCATTTAAATGCTGTTTTCGATTTCAGACTGATGATTTAGTATGCGCTATTCATCACCCTGTGAAGGACTTTCTCTTTGCCGTTGAGCGGTATGACCCCGGGTGAAAAACAACTGATCATCCGTGCTGATGAGGACGAGTCTTAAACAAAAATGGTGACTGTTTTACACATGTCGGAATATTCCTTAATAAATAGCCGTTTTAGAATGTGTTCCATTCTTAGTGAGAAAATTATAATTAAAAAGGTTAGTTATCCATGACAGATGGTAAAAAAAAAAAAAATCAATATGCTAAACTGGCACTAGCGATGAGGACTATACATACTCTTTTGCCAGGAGGTCCTGGTGGGCCAGCTTCTCCAGAAGGACCAGGAGGTCCCTAAAATAGAGTGGAGGAAGAGAAATGAATCAAAAACAGAAAACATCTGAACCAGCCTATTTTAGATAATAGACTTTAGCGTTATAACTAAACTTTCTCTCTTTTGTCTTGCCAACCTTAACCAATTTCGTGAAATTAACTGAACACAATTAAGAAACACAAGGGTTTCAAAAGCACACCGACAGGATGGATACAATTTAGAAAATTATTCAGCTGTGTGATTATTTGATTTGAAAATGATAAACTTCTAATCAGAAGCTGTGTGTATTTCTGTGAAAGTGTGTTGCTCAAAACAAACCTCCAATCATTAAACTTTCATAGAACTGTAGCTTACAAATGGGCCTTGCACAAAGACCCTCAAGCCTAGACATTCACATTTGTAAACCTAGAGATTCAGATACATTGAATTTAATGGTAAATTAACCAATTTTCCTGCTCTGGAAAATCCAAATGACTATAATAAATGTTAATAAAGACTGCAGTTTATGGGCTGCCACTGCTCAGACAATTATGTTTGACTTCTGCATATCCAATTACAGTTTATGAATATATTTGTATTGTATATGAAGAGTTCAGATGCAAAAGCCTCTAAATGCCATTTGAAATTTTCTTCTAAAATGATCATTTTTATCAAACTTGTATATTTAAGTTCAGTAATTTCACTTAAATAACAATGAATAGGTAATTGTCATTGCCATTTAAGTGAAATCACTGAACTTAAATATACAAGTTTGATAAAAATCATCATTAAAGAAGAAGATTTCAAATGGCATTTAGAGGCTTTTGCATCTGAACTCTTCATATATACTTTTGCAAGAGGAAAACACAGTGCTCTGCAACTTAAATGATTATATTTTGAGTAATTATTGCCTGAATAAAATTACAAAGTATGCATAGAGTTTTTATGCAGTTTATAAAAACTATAGTCAAAGCAATTGCACCTAAATATTATGAATACTCACAGGTTGACCAGACTCTCCATCCTCTCCCTTTTCACCTGGGCCTCCATCTATTCCCTGATAATGTTATAGACAACATTTTAAAAGACAAATAAACTGACAATTGACAAATATTGCAGTATATTTACCCTGCAAATTACAGTTTTAATCCTTTAAATAGATTGTGCTACTTACAGCAACACCTGGCTCACCAGGTGGACCAGGGTCTCCAGGAAAACCAACAGGGCCCTTTAGTTGTAAACACAGTTACATGTCAGTAACTTAAAACTAAATTCGTCCTTAATATCCTTAACAAATAATAGGACCTACTAAACGAAATGAATGTCAGTTGTGTCACACTTACAGGGTTACCCTTGGGTCCATCATCTCCAGGGGGTCCCTTGGGACCTGGAGGTCCAGCAGCACCAGAGGGACCAGCTTCACCTTTCTCTCCTCTCTCCCCTTTTGGGCCCTGCAGAATATATAACAAAGATGAAAGGGCTGAATAAAGAGCCCTGAGGCACCCCATGAACAAAAGCACCCCGAGAACAATGAGTGCAGCCACGCTCTACATTCTGATACAGCAATTCAAAAGAGTTAATCAACCATCCATGTCAGTATTGACAGGCCAGAATTTTGACAGGCTGCATTTGTAATACATAAGTTAACTTTTTAGCTTTATTCAGTTGATCTGCCCCCGCTTGAAATGTTACTCAAGGTTTTTATGACAAAAAGGTGTAGTTTTATCATATGAAAGCCAATATTCTGGTGTCAGAAATCCAAAAGTTTAGTTTCAATTGAAGGGATGTTTTGGGTACATTTTCTTGATATGACCCCTGTAAAGTTAAGTGTATTATTTGTATGATGAGAGGAAAACCCTTTATTGGAATCATTCCTGCAATTTAGCGACTCACTTAGTGTGGCCACTTAATTCAACACAATCAATAAAGCCTGAAAAGCTTACAGGAAGTGATTACCCGCACCATCACACAGATTTCTCCTGAGAACTCAACTTACCCCAGGTCCAGGCTCGCCAGGAGGTCCAGGGTTGCCAGCTTCTCCTTGTTCACCCTGCGAAGGATATTACTAGTTATAAGCTCTAGCACCATACCATATGATTGTGCAGTAGAATGTTGAGTTCTATTCAACCAGAATTTTTAGCTGTCAAACTTCCAAATTCCAATTTCAAAAGTTTCTTTGACAAAAACCAGCAAATCGAACCGTTCCATAGTCATTTTATCTTCAATGCTCTGAAAAATTGGAACACCTTTTGAAGATCAGAGATACCATTTGATTTTTGAATAGAATGAAGCAGATATATTATCTAAACAAAGCTGCATTGTGTTTCTTAGCTAGTCTGGACTGTAGTGGACATAATACTCAACTACTAATGGATGGAGCATCATGGTGACCCGTAACATGTTCTAAATTCATCTCCACAGCCAGCCAAAGCATTAAATATTGATGGCCTGTGGGCCTGCCAAATAGCGGTGAAATGGAGGGGGTTTTATCAGAACTGCGGTAAGGTAGGCATTCATCGTTTTGTTATACTAATTCAGAAAAAACGATGACACGAATAATAAATTAAGGAAGTCTTCAAATGAGACTTGAAATAGGTCTTTGGCCCTGGAGAATAAACACTGGAGATAGGGATAATCTTACCTTCTCACCCACGGATCCCATTCCTCCTATTCCACCAGGAGGACCTTGTGGACCCTTCAATAAAAGAAGTCAATTTGTTAAGAGGCATACGTGAAAACCATTAACACAGAAGCCATTTAGTTTAAGTGGTGTAATTTTATGGATTTGCAGATTGGATAAAATGTTCAATGTTGAGAGATGCTCTTACATCAGCACCAGAAGGGCCTTGAGGACCTCTGGGACCAGGTGGGCCAGGGGGACCCTGTGGAGAAACAATAAGAGAGACAAATTAGATTTTACTAATAATTGTCAAAAAAAGGTCAATGTTGTCAAAAGCAAAATAAAATAAGGCTAAATAAAAGAATAAACAGAACCAAAAAAATGAAAAGGCGTTTATGAGTAGAATATTCTGTCCTGTATTCTGTCGAGTATGACTGTATTTAATAATTGGTTAAAACATCTTACCATAGGACCAACGTCTCCATTTTCTCCTTTTTCACCAGGTGGCCCAGGAAGACCCTTCAAAAATAAATAGATATTATTTTATTGATGTGTATCTTCAAAATATATATGTCCATACATTCACATACTATAGTACACTGATGTCAGTGACTGTGCAAAGATGTGTAAAGCTATGAGGCACAAAAAAAAGACCCTCTGAAGAAAAGAGAAAAAGAATCTTGCCCAGACGCAGTTACCAGAGGACAGCAATAATGCTTCATTTCAGAATTGGCGGAGAAAGGCAAAAGGGCCATATGGCAAATGGAAGAGGCGGGAGTGTTTATTGAGTTTCAGAATCTGTCATCTTGAAATCTAAGAGAGCAGCTAATAACCTTTGTCAGATTTTTAGCTCACGTTCAATGCGAACACTATATTATTTCTCACCTTTTCATAGCTGGCAAAATGTCAGCCTGGGTGAAAAACGAAGAGGACTTTCAACACTAAGCACAATAGGAAAGATATTTTACCCAGCGCAGAAACTCATCTACGCACATTTGCCAAATATATTTCCCAAGAGCGGCACAGGATTCATTTGAACATTCGGGGGGGAGGACATGTCCCTCGTCTTACCCATTATTATGCCCTTAAAATGCACCTAGGACTTAAGAGAAACACACTTTAGATCCAAAACATTGGAAGAATAAAACAGGGAAACCAAAAAAAAAAAAGTTAGATGGCCAGCAGCATGCACTTCATTTCATTTGACGCTGCTCTCCACTTAGGGGCTGAAAAATTCATGCGGTTTTTCAGCTTAATTAATAGCCAATTAAATGTTTTTCCCAGCAGGAAAGGTAAAACATCCATCAGTGACAGTAACCAGGGAAGCATTTGTGTTTTAAAGAAGTCCAAAATGCTATAACATCAGAGACCTCGGATAAAACACACATGCATTGGCGAATAAACACGCTAGGCATGTGACCCCGGTATCATGCGTGTTTGATCCTTGACATTTACTCCCTAATTGCCTCACCTTCAGGGGCTGCTCATTCAAAGGACTTTTCTTCATCATCCGTTACACATTTAAGGAGCGACGACATCTAAAATCTAATTTTGTCTGATATTTACTCGCCCAATACCCACGTGACCTGCAGACTTGGCAGACTGACACGCTGGTTCTCGTGCTGGTAAGAGATCTCATCAGGGCAGAAGCCCTTAGTCAGAGACCATTAACATAAACACTCATTACAGACTGAAGGGTGTGTGTGCACTGTCCTAATGTCTATTGGACCGGGTCACTAAATGCAATTAATAAAATCCAAATGGAAGTGCATTACGCCCAATTAAAACTCAATTGAATCAAATGGCTCAGAGATTTGGTGGCGTAAGAGGACTACAGGAGCAGTCGATGTTACTCCATTACCGCGATGACTTGCCTTCAGAGGAATCAGCTAATTGATGGCAGGAGGAATGGCATATCTTTGAGGCTTCATATCATAATATGATCAAATAGAAAGATAAAAAAATTCAAATAAATCTTCTATAAATACAGTGTGTTTACTACACAAACATGACTGTTGATTTTTATGGTTCACAACATTGCAACCAAATATATTTAGTGACAGATTTTATATATATATATATATATGTATATATATATATAAGCAATATTCATACTTATTCATGATACAGCACTTGCCTCTCGTACCTTATTGCTTTTATAAAACGGTTACCACACAATAAAAATATTAAAGTAAAAAAAATATGCATTAGAGCAACTTTCATGAAGTAAAATCACTAAAAGCCTTCTTTCCGCTAGAAAAAAATAGTCCCTGACCATGAACAGCAACAGACGTTCTAATGTGTAATGTGCATGAAAGCTCAAATAAAAACAACATAGGAACTGCAGTGTTGCGCAGTGAGAAATAGAACCGTTGGGTGAAGCGGTCATAGCCGTGTTACATCATGAATAAAGCACAGCTATTGTCCAATCAGAATCAAGGATTGGAACTAACTGTTTTAAAAGTATATATATGAATATATATCGTTGGGACTGATATTTTGTAAAAAAACCAATAAAAAACGGTAACGCTTCCTTTTACAGTACAGTACTTACAGTATACTTACAGTGTACTTACCTAGAAAGTACTGGCTAATATAAGGCAAGTACATGGAACAGGGGTAGGTTTAGGGGTAGGATCAGGGTTAGTACTAGTTATTACCCAGTAATTGTAGTTACTAAAATAAGTACATAGTATTTACATTGGTAACTGGACTGTAAAAGGAAGCGTTACCAAAAAAAACTTTTTTAAATAAGTTTTTCTTTAATTCTTTTAATTTCTACTAATTAGTAGAATAAATAAATCAGATGTAATTATACCACAAGCAAACCAAAATTTGAACTGTTCATGTAATGGAGCCTGTATGTCTGTAGAGAGTGTATACTTATTCACTAGATCAATTCCAGCAGAAGTGGAATCAAAAAGAAAATCAATTCACATCTCAAACACCTCCCAGTGCATCTACTGCCCAGGGCCACCAGCTAATGTTGTTTGTGCTGCGTTAGTCTGGGTCACCATGGGAGTGGCGACTCAGTGCTAAACAAAATCAAAATGTTAGCTTGTGAATGACACTGTGGGACTCACCTGGAGACCGATGGGACCAGGAGGTCCAGGGAAGCCCCGGGATCCTTCATCTCCCTTCTGTCCAAACATACCCTGCTGTCCGCGAGGACCTGGCTCACCATCACCTCCCTGAAATAAGCATTAGTCTCAATGTATTCCTTATTAAAAATGACTGAAAAAATAGATAAGGTCATTCTGAATGTGCAGTGAAGACGTACAGCAGGTCCAGGAGCTCCAGTAGTTCCCTGAAGACCAGGTGGACCTGGAGGACCCTAGTGGACAACACAATGAAAAGGAGATCAGAATAACAGAAATATACTATGAGATGGGATGGGAATCATAAGGAATTGAATGATTCTCATTCCTCAAAGATTTAATTAATGGATCTTTTAGTACTTTTGAGGAAATCACTTGGAGTTGGACACGATACTTGTGGTTCAGTAAATACGTCAAGAACCGCTTAAACCGATTCAGTGATTGACAGTTCAACTGTATAATACACATGTTCAACATTTATGACTCATTTAGATCAATTTACTAAAGGAACTAGTTAATAAGACTTATACATTTGTAAATCGGACTATACTGGTTGTGTTTTTTTTGTATGTGTGTGAAAGAATTTCCTTAAAATCATTAGGTAATGGTTTATAAGTAGAATCAGTTCTGTTTGTATAAATAAGGATTTCACGACAGAATTTACTCACATGTTCACCTTTGTCGCCTTTACTTCCCTTCTGTCCTGGTTCGCCAACTTCTCCCTGGAAAGTAGTTTAAAATCAGTCATGCAATATCCATTTTGTCTCTTAAAAAACTATATTATGCATTCATCACACTGGTGATTCTTAATGAGAAAAACTCTGTTGAAGCAATGTTGCAGTAAACCGTTTACTGTGCTGTAAAAAATATGACATTGGTTATGACCTGCATAGAGTTTTAATGTAAATGACATGACAAATAATGTCTCTGAACTAACAGATATGGCCAGATAAAGCTATGCTACAACTTATTCTTGGCACGTAAGCCATGAAGTTGGTTAGAGGATACTGATGGAGAGACAACGTTTATGGTACCCTGCGCTAATTTGATTATAGGCAGCCTTTGCAGATGATGATGGATTGGCGGCAGGGGAGAGCGACTGAGAGATAGGCGTACGTTTCAGATGCCCGTACAGTGTGCGTTTGTGATGATGAAGAATGATCGCTGTCCAAAAAGTGCGGGCGAGGAATTCTGGGAAGAGTTGTGAGATATACTAGGAGATGAGATATAATTATTTTCTTGTTTTCTATTTCATATTTCAAAATATTTACAACCAGAAAAATTTAGACTTTTATCTTGAATTAAGTTTTCTTGAATAAAAATTCGTACTCTATTGAAAAATAGTTTTTTTTTTTTTATGTACAAAGTGAGGGCAATTTAGTGAGATTTATTGGATGGTTGGGATAAAAAAAGATATATTGATGTGCTGACATACTGAGATTTTTCAGCGGTGTAAGCCTGTTAAAGTAACTTTAGATGCATTGGAACACAACTTTCTTCCATTAAATCTGTACACGAGTTAAGATGAAGTGAAATCCGTTACTGTCCTTTTGTGGCGATTGTGAATTGGCTGCAGGAACAAAGGATTGTATTAATGTAATGCAGTAATGTAATGGACCTTCTCTCTACTGTCTAAGCGTATTAATGTCAATTAAAACCACAATTAACCTTGTCACCATCTTCTCCGGGTGGACCCTGAGGTCCTGCTGGACCCGGCAGACCAACTGGACCTTGAACTCCATCCCGACCGGCTGGACCTGATGGACCTCTCTCTCCCTGAACAAAGACACATTTTTCAGTTTGTGGCAAATTACATTCTGAATTGAAATCTTTTTTCATTTGCTGAAAAGATCCATGTGCTACAGTACATTAGACGGTATGTGGTCACTGTGCTGTAAGCAAACCTAAACGTTTACTAATATAAGATACACATATTGATCATCTTCATATCTAATAAGTAAGCTTACCGGTGCACCCTTCTCTCCAGCAGGTCCTGGGGGTCCCTGAGGTCCAGTACGTCCAGACAAGCCAATGGGGCCAGCAGGTCCTGCTGCTCCTCTCTCACCAGGGGAACCCTATAACCATCACAGACAAAAACGATTGAACATATTTGACACTGAGACACTATTTGCAAGTCTGATTAACTGAAGCATATACTACATCAGGGGTTTTTAAAAGTGTAGGGCGCACCTACAATGTCAATCGATTGCATTTTTTCTATATAGCTTTTCTGTATGTAAATGTATAATAGCACAGGACTACCTAAACAGTTTAGAGCAGTACAGAAACATGGATGAATGAGAAGAAAGTGTGGGACGTGCTTGATGATGAGTCATTAAAAGCAGCACAATAAACTGCGAAAAAGAACTGAATTCGGTACTGACAGGTGACCTTCTGTGGCACACCCGACCTGCGCGAGTGCTGAATTTAGTTTACTTTTTCGGCTTATTGCGAAGTTTGCCTAAATGATCATTAGATCCATGCACACGGTCTTAAAGTGACAGCAGCCTCACATAGGCATACCTGCTGCTGTCTTTATCGTTAATGTTAATCAAATCATTCACAGTGCTTATATCGTTTACAAAAAACATAATTCACCCCTCTTATATCTTTCAAAGCTGTTAATACAGTAATGTAATTCATACAATGCAGACTATATAGTTAAAAATGAGGTTGGGGGGTGTGCATTGTCTATGTTGTGTTAGAAGGGAGGCCCACTGTCTTTGACTTTGAAAACCCCTGTACTGAATTAATAGGCTTGTAAAGATCTGCCGTACCTCACTCATTAATCAAGTGTAAAGGATTAAATCAGATTCTCCCAAGTGATAACTTCCTTTCAAGGATGTACTTTTAGTGCAGAAAATCCAAATTAGGAGCTTTAGCTTTTGAATGATTATGCTCTAATGGCATTCTGAGTGTTGTAACATTGCTATGCTGGTGTTAGGGTGTTGCTATGCAGTTATTAATGTGTAATGTTCTTATGCTGATGTTAGGGTGTAGCTGTGGGGTTGCTAAGGCATTCTGAGTGTTTTGAACATTGCTATGCTGGTGTTAGGGTGTTGCTATGCAGTTGCTAAGGCATTCTGAGTGTTTTGAACATTGCTATGCTGGTGTTAGGGTGTTGCTATGCAGTTGCTAAGGGATTCTGAGTGTTTTGAACATTGCTATGCTGGTGTTAGGGTGTTGCTATGCAGTTGCTAAGGCATTCTGAGTGTTTTGAACATTGCTATGCTGGTGTTAGGGTGTTGCTATGCAGTTTCTAAGGCATTCTGAGTGTTTTGAACATTGCTATGCTGGCGTTAGGGTGTTGATATGCAGTTGCTAAGGCATTTTGAGTGTTTTGAACGTTGCTATGCCGGTGTTAGGGTGTTGCTATGCAGTTGCTAAGGCATTCTGAGTGTTTTGAACATTGCTATGCTGGCGTTAGGGTGTTGCTATGCAGTTTCTAAGGCATTCTGAGTGTTTTGAACATTGCTATGCTGGCGTTAGGGTGTTGCTATGCAGTTGCTAAGGCATTTTGAGTGTTTTGAACATTGCTATGCCGGTGTTAAGGTGTTGCTATGCAGTTGCTAAGGCATTCTGAGTGTTTTGAACATTGCTATGCTGGTGTTAGGGTCTTGCTATGCAGTTGCTAAGGGATTCTGAGTGTTTTGAACTTTGCTATGAAGGTTTTCTGAGTGTTTTGAACTTTGCTATGCTGGTGTTAGGGTGTTGCTATGCAGTTGCTAAGGCATTCTGAGTGTTTTGAACATTGCTATGCTGGTGCTAGGGTGTTGCTATGCAGTTGCTAAGGCATTCTGAGTGTTTTGAACATTGCTATGCTGAATTTAGGGTGTTGCTATGGAGTTGCTAAGGCATGAGTGTTTTGAACATTGCTATGCTGGTGTTAGGGTGTTGCTATGCTGTTTCTAAGGAATTCAGAGTGTTTTGAACATTGATATGCTGGTGGTAGGGTGTTGCTATGCAGTTGCTAAGGCATTCTGTGTGTTTTGAACATTGCTATGCAGATGTTAGGCCATTGCTATGCAGTTGTTCTCAGTGTTTTTAACATTTTACCATGTGGATGGTAGACCATTTTTATGTGTTTGTTAAGGTGTTCTTAATCAAAGTCTATGGGATTTAGCACCCATTTAAAATCATTAGTCCCACACTATTTCCCAACGATAAATTTGTGGCATCACGTCATGTTCATGGTACAAACCATGTGGCACATGTTATGCACAAAATTGCACCTAATAGTGATCGTTGCCTTTGCCAGCAAAGCAAAATAAATAATTGTACAGGGACAGTACAGAGGGTGTGTGCGGTCCCGTGCAACACTTTGCGACTAGTGAGTGCAATAAAGTACAGCATGGAGCGGATGGAATCAAACAATCAGAACACAACAGACAGCTGTTCAAGGACTGTAAAACTTTTGGTTAGGCGCCAAATGTACTCTTACTAGTGGGCGAACATGCCCTAGACTCCTTATCTGTCTTTCTAAATGTGGTTTAATTTGTAGACCTCTGCATCTTCATACAAATGCAAATGTATCCTTTATCGGACTGACACAGTTGAATTTAAAACTCTCAATGACTTTTCTTCCATCTATTCTAATCTTGCAGTGCACTGTCAAGGCCTGAAAAAGAGCAATTATAGGGTGACAATACTTGTCTTTTTTTTTCCTTAAGAGAAATGAATCGGTGAAGAAAAGAATGTGATTTTAATTCAAAAAGCTTGAGGACATTTAACATCAAGCCACATAAATTCTAATGAAACAGCTATGGTATAAAATGTCAAGAGGAGGTAATTATGAACTGGTGAATTTATCTCTCAAGACACTGTGGTGGTCACCATCACACCCTCTAGTGTTAACTAATGCCACTGCATGCTCTTTCAAGAGGCACTGCGGGAGGCATACATCCAACCGTGTCCGATTCGGTATCTCTCATTTAGAAAGAGTATGAATCAGCTGCGCACTCTTCTCTGTTTGCGCGTGTGTTCGGTAGCGAAGAACACTATTTAAATCCTTAATGGTGTTTTTGAGCCTTAGATCTTCCTGACCAGTCCCTCAACCCTCTCAGACTCCTAAATATTGAATGCCGCGTTTGGGAGAATGAGCTTTTCACGTTGAATGATGGGAAACCATGGAAACAGAGTACTTACAACAGGGCCAGGGGGGCCCTGAGGGCCCTCGGCTCCTTTCAAACCAGGTGGACCCTGCAGAGGGCAAAAGAGAAAGAAGAACAAAATATGGATGAGTAAATAGGCCTAACAAACAGCTTGATATCAAAGTGTCAGCATTGGCTATTTTCTCTTGAGCATTATCCAACGCATCATCCATTGATGCTCAAAGCCATATATAAACATGTACTGTATTTTTTAATTTAGCGCATCATATCTGAGCAAACAAATCTACCTCCAGCTCATAACACATCTTACACACAATATGACCAACACAGAAAAGAACTCATAATGGAGATTTCACGTTGAAAGCTTTTCACTGAAAGTGCTCATGGTGGTTCTTTTTCAAACTTTGGTTCTTGCAAATGTGTCGTGACCAAAAACGATGTACAAAAACCAGTGGCGTTTGCCTGTGTGACCTAGCTCTTCGTCTTTGTGCGTTAGTTATACAGCCACCCGTGACCGACATGTAGTAGTTGCAAAGCTACTTTTAGTTTGTAAAATGTCTGAAGTGGACAATTGAATTGAAGTGTAAACACATAAACATTTCCAAAACTTCTCCTTATACACAGAAAATTGGAACAACATGATGGTAAATGATGTTTAAGATAACAAACTTTCTATCTATAATTTTTAGACAAATTTTTACTTTCAGCAGAGGATCAAAATAATTCTATTTCTGTGATGTTTTACTCATCGACTTAACTGCTTCAAAAATTACCTGGGACACTGTGGGAGATACAAAATCCTGAGAGGATACTACTCTAATGAATTCTGATGAACTATTCAGCAATTCCATAAATAAATCCAGAGATATGGTTGTCTAATGAAGCTCTCAGATTTCACCAACAGAATTTTGAGCTTTTTATTTAAAGGAATAGCTCACCCAAAACTATACTTACCCTCATGTTGCTACAAACCTATATTTTCAAAGAATCTTTACATAGATAGAAAGAAAATACACTATAAAAGCACCATAAACAGTTCATATGACACATGTCACTGTAAAAAAAAATATTGTTGGTTTAACTTAAAAAAATGAAGTAAACTGGCTGCCTTAAAAATGTAAGTTCATTAAAATGGAAAAATTGAGTTAATACAATGAAGGAGATTGATTCAATCATCAAAAACTCAAAATATTATGTTATCTGAACTACATAAACTTAAGTTGATTTGACAAAGAAAAAAATGTTGTGATTACAAATCATGAAAACATGTTTTTACGTAGGCTATGCTTATTTCAAGTCTTCTAAAGACCAATGACCATTGATGTTACTCACATCCAACCTGTGCTAAGGACAGTGAACACAATATTTGTTTTAAGAGTCAGAAGTAGATAATGAAATAAATTTTAGTTTGTTCCTAAAAAGAGCTATCATATGATGTATAAAAATATTGTTGGTTTAACTTAAGTTCATTGAAATGGAAAAATTGAGTTAATACAATGAAGGAGATTAATTTAATCACTAGAAACTCAAAATATTATGTTATCTGAACTACATAAATTATCTAAGTTGATTTTACAAAAGAAAAAATGTGATTACAAATCATGAAAGTATTTTTTTACAGTGAGTGCACATGTTATATGGACCATTTATGTCATCTTTATGGTCCTTTTTGGTGATTTTATGTTTATATGGAGCTTTTGTAGTTGTATTTTCGGTTCCACAGAAAAACTAACGTCATACAGGTTTGGTATGAAATGAGTGTGAGTAAATGATGGCAAAATTGTATTTTTGAGTGAATTATTTTAACAATGAGCGAAAGTAAAAGCACACACATACACGTTATTACAGACCGTTGAGTACTAATGCTTCTAGACTCATTTTTGTACTTGCACAAACTACAGCGCATAGTGACAGCGGGGTTTGGTCTCTTCTGACTGTGGGTTTCATTAATCTCAGTTTGAGAGAGAGATCCACAAAACTCGACTGCCTGCTGGTTCTGCTTCCACACGATTGATATTTACTGGCCTCTTTTTCTCACACAGGACAGTTGTCATCAGAGACACTGTGTTTTGTGTGTGCGTCGATGCATATGTAATTTAACTTTTGTTTCTATAGATTACACTTATATAACATATATTTCAAATACCCTGTAGATGTGTTTGTTTGAATCTCTTGTAGGTGCATCCATATGTGTGTGTGTCAGGGTTCACGGAGGTCCCGTCGTGTTTCGTGTGCTATGTGTGTGAGGGCTTGAGATTGCCTCTCTAAAGGGCAGGCACACACAGTGGTCTCAGTAATGACTGTTGCTGTCCTAAGAGGGGGGAAAAAAATCTCCACAGTAGAAAATAATCAGGCATCGCATGGAGAGCCAGCCTCTGCCACTGACCTTGAGATCAGACATCTACAATGAACAAACAACCTCATCTCCAAAAATCTAATTGGCAACATTTCCAATTAAATCACTCTCTGGCCAGACAATACATATAAAAGACAACAACCCAGCCGTTTCAAAAGGTGGTAAATTTGAGCCGCAGCTAAATTAGCATAATGTACCTTTGCATTAAACAATGCAAAGTTAGCCCTTTTAGAGGTTATATGCCCTATTAAAGTCTTGGTGGAGTGTATTGAAGTCCAATTCTGTGGCTGTAATGAGCCAAGGCTGCTGTCTACCTCTAAGATTAGGAGGATTTATTGCAGAGATTTATTCGCACAGGAGCACGATCTTACCGTCACTCCGGGAAGACCTCTTTCTCCCGGGAACCCTCTCAGTCCTGGAGGACCGTCTTTTCCTGGACTGCCCTGAGGACCTGGATCTCCCTGCGGACAGACAGTTTGCGATTGAATATTTTATTGAACTTCAAATATAATGAACAGGAAATTTAAACCAAATGAATTTTAAGCTGATCCTAATGAGCTTTGAACTGATGAAATGATTCGGAATTATTGCTAGCTTCAAATACACTTCTCAGCATGATTAAAACTGAAGTGTGTAAATTTTATATAATGAAACACCGGGCTGTTGAAACAAAGTTTTTACACCATTTTTTTTTTTTTTTTGAGGAAACAGGCTGGAATAGGAATGAGTATCACCAGAAAACAGATTTGAACTTTAAAATATAATGAAAAGAAGATGTCTAACTGATAAACTAAAAGATAATTTCATACACTACTATTCAAAAGGATGGTGGGATATTTCATGTTTTTGAAAGAAGTCTCAACTTATTTGACCAAAAATACTATTTTAATATACAGTATATTTTATTTTAATATAGTCTATCTATTTTAATATACAGTATATTTTAAAATGTAATGTATTCCTGAAAATTTCTGAAAAGTCTTTAGTGTCAAATTATACTTCCGAAATCGTTAGTATGGTGATTTTATGCAAAAAAACAAAAAACAAAAACATTTCTTAATATTATACATTTTTCAAAACAGCTAAATATGTATTTGTTTATTTTTGTGACATTCTTTGGATTCTTTGATGAATAGAAAGTTCAAAAGAACAGCATTTATTTGAAACAGAAATCCTTTGGAACATAAATGTCTTCACTGTCACTGTTGATAAATTAAATGTATAAAAAATTATCAACAAACTTTTTTACAGTAGTGTACATTATTAATAGCTCCAAACTTCTGTTAAACTTCTATTAATAAAGCCCTAGCGCTGGTATATAATATTTCAGCACAATTAATGCAAGCCTGCCTAAAAAGCAATAACAATAATAAATGTGTCTAAGGGGCCGGCAAATGCAGTAAACTGCAATCATACGTGCCTGCCTGAGGAGGTGATTTTTTTTAAAATTGTAAGAAAGCTTAACACAGTTTTAGACCTTTGAAAGACAATGTGCACTTGACCTCAGTGTCTCTGACTCTGCATTTTGATTGGAGCACTGAAAGTGCCTTATGTCTAATAAGAAGAGGAAACAACAGAGCAAAATCAGGAAAATGACCGAAGGACAGTGAGTCTGACCACTCAGACTTCAGCAGCATACTCTGCCTCTGGGCTGTTCACTCACATCTGACAGACTGTCTAAAGTGAGCCGATCGAGCTGATTAAAGTGTCTCCGTTCAGGAGTGACAGGAATTGAAACCGAGACAGGAAGGTTGAACAGTCAGAGAAGTTCAGTTCAGCCTTTAAAACCACATCTACTAACAATTTAGACTCTATTTAGAAAGGAAATTCAACAATTATCCACAGTACTGATGTTATAGAGCTGGAAAACTTGGGTGCACTTGGACAGATTGGGTTTTTGGTCAACAAAATGATGTTCACTGGCTCTTTTTTTTCTCAAAGAAAAAATAATTGTTGGTCATAATCAATCATTTTTAGTTCTGTTTGGACTTACTTGTTTGCTAGGCACTTTGCTTGCGTTATTAGTTTATGGAGTTTTCCAATAAGAAGGGGCTTACCTTTGCACCTTCTTTCCCACCAGCACCTGGGAGACCTTGCTCTCCGGGGGGACCAGGGGGTCCAGGATGTCCTCTCTCACCAATAGGGCCGGTTTCTCCTGTTGGACCCTTTCAGGGCATTACAGATATATTTGAGTGATATTGAAAGGCAAGGTCTTCTTGCTTAGCCTAAATGAGAATACAGTAATAATTGCGGTGAAAACATGAGCGCCTACCTGTGGTCCAACAACACCTCCAGGTCCTGGTGGGCCAGTTTTGCCTTGGAAACCCTAGGGGGAAAAAATCACAGCAATTACCACCTGAGAAATCAATCAATCAATCAAATCAATCAATCAATCAATGAAACAAATCAATCAATCAATCAATTAATCAATCCATCCATCCATCCATCGTCAATAGATACAAATATGTAGCTGCAGTACTTAACAAGTTTATTGTTCTTAAATGTGATAAACATCTCCCATTGGGTCACAAAGTTATTAATAAAGCCTCTGGCTGGATCAGACATAATCTCCATAACACTGTCAGGTTTACACATAACTCAGAGGAGAACTCTCATTCAGTTCCTAGATGCGTCTTTGAACATGCTTAGTCGCTTAGTCTCTCTTCCTAGATGCTCGAGCACCTGATCGGTGATGTCTGCTATAGGTTATCATTTAGATACTGCAATTTGGGCAGCAGATTTCTAAATGTGATTGATTGGAAACACTTACAGTTTCTCCCCGCTGACCAGGGTGACCGGGCAGCCCATCCTTTCCAGGTGGTCCCTAAAACACAAAATGTGGTGGTATATATTGTAAATGACACTTTTAAAATGATTAGCATCTAAAACAGCATGGATAGTACTGTAACAAAAACAGGTACTTACAGGGGGGCCCTTCGGTCCTGAGAAACCAACGGGACCCTGGGGGCCTTGAGGTCCCTGGAACAGACCATACAAAATAAGTATATTTTATGAAAAGTCTACACCTTTACTTGGTCTTACTTAGCAATGTAGGACAGATTGTCACATTACAATATTGGCAGCAGAAAATGTATCAGAATATCTATATACTGTATAAAGAGGGTTATGAAAATCAGATATGTGTGCTAGAAGTGAATGTTTATCTGACCACTCTCAGAAAAAAAGGTACAAAAGCTGTCACTGGGGCTGTACCTTTTCAAAAGGTACACTTTTGTGCCCAAAGGCTGCATATTGGTACCTTAGTGGTACATATTAGCACCTAAAATGTACATATTAATACCTAAAATGTACATACTGTAATAGTACCTAAATGTACATTAGGACCTAAAATGGACATATTAGCTCCTGAAATGTACACATTAACACTTAAAATGTACATTAGCACCAAAAATGTACATATTAACACATAAAATGTACTTATTAGCAACTAAAATGCACATATTAGCACCTAAAATGGAGTGACAGCTTTTGAACCTTTTTTTCTGAGAATGTATAAACTCAGCAACATTTATAAAAACTCAAATAATAAAGCATCAATAAAAGTTGAAACTATTTTGAAAGTACAATGTAGGTACAGTCAACAGGTTTTGACATGCTTAAAAAAAATCCCACAGATCCAGACTGAAAACTGGAATAAATAAAGCGGGAAAAAACGAGAACAGGATCACACAGCAGATATAAACAGTACAACATCAGATTTCGAGTGATGTGAGCCTTGGACAACAGCCTTCCAGTGGTCTAATGCTCAAGAGCTCTTCATAAATCTATAATAGCTTCCAGATGAAAACAGGTCTGATGCTAAGTCCTCTTATCAGGAGTACACCCACATGCTGAGCTAATCCTCACTGCGCTTCCTGCAAAAGCACCCCCTCGGAGCGCTTCGAGCCGTACGCCATCTCACTGTAGATAGAATAATGGGATGACAAGTGTTTTCTGCTGCAATGCATTCGTGGTGGCACTTACTCTCTCTCCGGGTGGACCAGGTGGACCGTCGTTGCCTGCTGTACCCTGTGGGACAGTGAGAGAGGTGAAGCATAAGGACTGTGCGACGGAAGTGATTGACACAAGCACAGCCTGAAGGAAGTAGTACCTTAGGGCCTGGTTTTCCTGTTGGGCCTCTAGCACCGCGTGAGCCACGTGGACCCTAAAAATTCAGAATAATTACGACTTGGTGACTTGCATTGTTAAATTCAGCAGAAAAACGTATTATTGTAATGCAAATTTAAGTGGAAATGGAAAGTGATTGGGTAAGTACATACCGTCGGACCTCTTTGCCCTCTTGGACCAGATTTCCCTGCCACCCCCTTTGAAAAGAAAGAAAAATGAGTGCGGTAAAAATTGAGGGTGAATTCAATAGCCACACAAAGCAAATCCAATCGCTGCAGCTGTTGCTGTTCTTTTTTGCCAAGATGAGATGGCAGTGTGTACAGGGGGAAACAAGCATTGGAAACCTTCCCCTAGGATTTCTGGGAGCCACAGCAATATTTGTTTCAGATGAGGTGTAGTAAAAGCACACAAACATACACAAATACACTGGCATTTTGCTCCCTGCACACGATCTAAACACTTGAAAAAATAGTAGCTAACTTGACATTGAATTATGAATAATCATAAATGCTTAAAGCACAGTTGCTTTTCCACTGAGAGGTTTCCCATGAACAATATTGGACAAGCCCAATGTTTGTTTCCAAGTGAAAGCTTTTCCCACTACAATAATAGATAATCTTTCAAAGGAAATACTTGATTAGTTTTCCCCAGTGGTCACCACCATTTACCCTTTCTATGCCATATTTGGGCTTGCAGAGCGTGATGTACTAATCAGAGTCAGTGTTTTTTTTCCTGTATATACAATTTCAGTCAGCACGTGTTGGTGTATTCATGTGCTATGGAAAATATGATATTTTCCACTTGTGAACTGGTATTTACCAGTGCGTTCAAGTGCTTTTGTTGTCGTAATGTGATAAAACGATGAAGATCCAGACCTGTTATTTAGCTAAAACTATTTTAAATTGCTTAAGTCATCTGCTACAGCAAGAAAATGATTTATCAAAACTCAAATGGTAAATAATATGCTGTATATTGTCTAGATCATGAATACTGTACTACATATTTTTACCTTTCACGACTCTAGCGTTGCTCTCCGCCATTTTGAAAAGGTCATCTCATCTTGGCAACTCGTGCATCAAAATATTCTACGAGTTACCCAGTGGAAAATTGTTTTCATGTGCATTTTCCACGTCGGCTTTTGGTATTTACCATAATTACCATAGCATGTGAATGCACCATGAGTCATAGTTTCCATCTATTTAACTATCAAGCAATGGCGCTGTATTGGTACAGGTATTTAGCTGTTGTTACTTGTTAGTGCTTCGGGTTAACATTGAATACTTTAGCATACTGCTTAAGAAATGGTCACAAACATATACACCTATACACTTATCTATTGCTTTGATAAACAAAATGCATCTCAATGCAAGTGGAATTTAACACAGTAAACCGCAGCCTCTCTTTAGCACAACAGTGCTACTGAGGTAGCTCAATGCTAAGCTAACACATGAAAAAATGCTACTAACTCTCTTAATGAGGTAATGTTTTGGTGTGTTGAAAATGATAGCCAATAAAACAAAACAAAATAAAATGTAATTTAAAACAATTTTTTTTGTCATTTTAAATATCAAATTTGCATTGGGGATAAGCTAAGCTAGTAGGCTAGTCGGCGTGTTGTAGCCTATGCTAATCTCTGAGCAGTAGCTTGAAATAAGAAAAGCTAACTAAAAAAACAAAACAACATTTGATTTCATCTACAGATCTGGTTATTTAGTTATAAGCAAAATATAATTTAAATGTAATCAATGGTCATATTAATAAAGTTTAGACAACATACCTGCACATCAGTGACAATGTAAGATTTCTAATCAGGCACTGAATAGTTTCAGTCAGCGACTCAATTTAACGGGTGGAAACTAATTTTAAAGAAACTACATACCATGTAAAACGTCCATAAAGGTAAATTTATGGTAAGTGTGAGATAAATGCAAAGGCAAATGTAAAGGTAAACAAGTAACTATAGCCTACATGTAAAAGTAAATGTAAAGGAGAAAAAAAAGAGATGACCTTTGACTTAATGGATTCATGCACTTTTGCATACTTTCTGAAAGTGAATAGTTTTCCAGATGCGTGATCATCGTTGAATCAGGTGAACACAATCGTTCCAGCATCTTTTGTTGTCAGGTATTGATTCGTGTCCATGTTTTTGTACAAAGTCATCATACAAATCCTTTCATAAAAGGAATCAATCAGCCTTTTTCATGTTTGTTATAATGCAGTGTGCACTTCACACAAAGCAGGTTGGAAGAATCTATCTCACCCTGGCTCCTTTCTCTCCGTTGGCTCCTGGGAATCCGGGGAAACCGGTCGAACCCTGCAAATCAAAGAAAAAGACTTAAGGGAGGAAGGGAAGGCAGCAAGACCTGCATATTAATGAGGGATGAACTCCAAGAGTCCCGACTCTCCTACTGATTCCGACAGTCAAATGCCATTACAATCGGTTAGCATTAGCATCTTTGGTTTTGCTACTTCCACTGTAGAGTTTTAAATAGCTGTGAGACTGCTTTGTCCCAATTGTTGGCAAGCTTTTTCCTACGAATAATAATTCAGCGAGCGGTAGACTTGAATGCGTATGATACAGTATGTCCCAAGATAAACAAGGTCGATCTCGATTATCAGTTTCCTTGTTTTGTTTGCACAAGTCTAAGCGCAAGGGATCTCGGGAAGGGATCGCTTGTCAGTATGGAAATACAACAGGGTCCACCAAGGATGGAGGACGATATAATCAACCAAAACAACAGATGTCGGATGAAAACAAATGGCCACTCGGTCAGATAAACAACCAAACATAGTTAAGATTAAGAGTCACTACTGATGAGTCTTAATCACTCTCATTCTCACTACCTGTCAGTCTCTTCCTCTCATTCTCAGTGCAGGAAATTAAAAACAGCTTACCCACGTTCCTCAATCCTGGCAGCAGTGTAAGCATTCAAGAAAGAAAATCAATACACTGTTTTACACATTCATTTTAAGGCCCGGCTTCAGAGTCATGCCCTGCAGAAATCAGGTTTGATTTACCATAAAGGATATTATAAAACTGTAAAGTTGAGACACTGACGAATAAGCAATGACACTCTAAAACAATGCCACAACTCTGAAGCGAGTAAGCACTCAGACCGTGATGGCTGGTCTTCAAAAGTGCACTTCATGATAATTTGAGAGTTGGCAGGCTGTTTGAATCCATTCCAGAGATGATGGCATGTCAAAGTGCTTGTAATCGCATCAAATGTCTGTCGTTCGTTAATGCTGCTAAATAGAAGCGGATTTACCAGACTGTAAATCTACCACCGTAGTCAGCACCTCTGCTATGACGGTTTTTTTTTTTTAATATTATTCCAGTCAATTCAAGATAAGCATTAAAGGTGAAATATGTAATTTATACTCTACTATTGGCAACAAAAGGAGCTGCAAAAATAGTGAATTATGTTTCCTGAACACTCTGCCAGGGGTGCCCAAACTTTTTCCTACGAAGGGCCAAAAATCAAACTTGATTGTGGGCCGTGGGCCAAAAGTAAATTTTGCATCATAAATCAAACGGTATTACAATAAAGTTGCTATGGGTTTATTTATTTTATAATATTTAAAATAAATATAAAACAACTTCAATCTGATTAACTAATGCAGTTTTATTTGTAAAGTTTTGCATTTTAAAGCCAAATCAAAGGATACCAGGCCCTAGTTTGGGCATCTCTGCATTAGACTGAGAAACAGAAGCTCACGCCACTGGTTGAGCCTGTCGAGTAAATCTGACATTCAAACTAACAGAGTGAGGTTTTGATAGAGTAACATAGTTACATTTTATAATATAGTATGTTAAATGAAGTGGCTTGCTGAAAAATTAAAAAATTAAAAAAAATAAATAAATAAATGGGAATTTTTTTTTTACAACAACAAAAATAAAATACACAAATAAAACTCATTCATGTATATTACATAAATGTTAATATTTACACTTTTTTTTCACAAAAAGAAATTCTGAAGAGACGCTTTATATGATGAACAAATTTAATTTAGGCTTTTATTCACATATAAACATGCATTTACGCACACAGTTGTGGTAAACCAAAGCTCAAGCATGTTCGCTTGACGTGAAAGAATCAATGAGATTCATTCTCGTTAGGCAGCACATTTCAGCTTCTTCAACAACCAATGAGGTTTGTAGTACGATTGAGCTTGTTTATGTTTGCTGATCAATGTTTATAAATGAATAAAAGCCTAAATTTAATCTGTTCATCGTATTAAACAATCAAGTCTCTACAGAAAATGTGGACTAAACCGCCCAAATCATATGAATTAGTCTTAAAATCACTTCATGAACTTTTTAGAGCGACAAATTACAGAAATCACTCAGATATCATTTACAATATCTTTACGTGCGTTTTGAAGAAAACCGAAAGTTTTGAAGGTAAATTGGAACGACATGAGGCTTGAGTAACTCTTTACCTTGAGTAACTAGTAAGTCATTACCTTAAAGCAGTTTTGCTACTCCTGTATATTTAGTTTTAGGATGTTTGGATATTTTTGATTGTTAAAAATAACTGATTCATTTGATAAATGACCACTCGAAACTTACATATTTACCAAGCAATGTAAAATATTGAGAACATTCCAATTTTACCCACTAGCTGCCTGTAATGACATCAAAGTTATAGAAGGTTTCCAGACCTCCAAGACCACTTAAGGTCTAATTTGGGGCTGGCTTGAACCAGATTGGGTACTGCTGTTACAGCTGATGCTGTTGTTGATGAAAGGCGCCGAGGTCTGACACATGCATCTGTGCTCAGAGTTCTCCTCACTGCCTGCGTGACCAGCATCCCCAACAGCACAGGGAACAATCCCGGCATCAGCTCCTCATTTTAAAAGAGCCTTACTCAGTGCAGCATGCATAATGCATTCACAGGAGGGCATTAGTTCATGCTAATGAGCCAAGTTGTTGTTTAGCTCATAAGTGAAACAATCAGGATGCGCGAACAGGTGTCATGTTCAATTTAAGTGCATACCTTTGGCCCTTGACGTCCTGGATAGCCAGGCAATCCCGGAACACCAAGTTTTCCCTGGAGGAAAACAAGCCAAAGATCAATTAGTGCAGGAACATCTTTGGACAATCACAAATCTAATTTAATATTAATATTCAAAACACAAACTCTGCAGCAGTTCCTGATTCCCCACGCCTCGCTAATCAACTAATCACAGTAAACCGAAAACAACAAGCAGCGTACCTTTTCCCCAGCAGGTCCCAGGGGTCCAGATTCACCGCTGGGGCCCGAACGACCCTTCGGGCCCTCCGGTCCATCCTCACCTCTGGGTCCAGCCAATCCAAGTTCACCCTGAAGATACACAGAAAACAATGCAATCAGTGCAGCCCTTCATAGGGTAAAATTAGCTTGGGCTGGAAGCCAGAAAGGCTAGAGGCTGTTTATTTACCCTGTCGCCTTTGAGACCCATGTCTCCCTTGAAACCCGGGAAACCATCCTCACCCTGAAAAGTTGGATGAGAAGAAAACACATTATGGAAAACATATAGTGATGAAGCTATTGCTTCTGCATATATATGACAACAATCAATTATTTGGAGTTGTACTAGACCTCCATCTGCTGACAATAAAGCAGTACTGCAACACAATCTATTACTTAAATTCAGTCTGGAAGGAACAATATTGTGAATATGGAGAAAAGTGGTGATTTATGATTGAATTCTCATTGTCTGTCGCTAAGATTCAGTCTGACTCTTTCACATTCATTTGCAAGATGCAACCTTGTCATTTTGTCAACTTAACTAATGCTTTATTCATGTATATGGACACATTCAGTTTCGTCATGATGGCACTGCAACCCAACCGTCAATTGAGTATCATTGTCAAACATTTGAGACTGCAATCTGATTAGCATTCATTTCAAAACGTGTTGATGGTTTTTGAAAAGGGGAAAGAAGAGGTTTGTGTGGATCTGGATGTACTTAATGGTGATGGAGTGATTTTGTGTCTTGAATAAGTGCTATGCATGATTAAACAGCACTTATGATGTGATGTTTAAGTGGACAGAATGTGTAGTGGCTATTGAACTCTTTTTATGCAGATTTACTGACCAGTATGTCATTGCAGTGATTCTTAATACAAGCTTCTGTATAACGTCAAGGGTACAGTGTGACGCAGACACTTTCTCCCTATCTTCTTTTAGAGAAGATGTGAATTTATGCATACCTTCTCTCCTTTGCCTCCCTTCAGACCACGAACGCCGTCGGCACCCTATAAGACCGATAGCATGTGATCAAGCTAAGCTCACAAACACACTGCAGACCAATAAATCTCTATCAAACGCAAAAACTGCTTTACCTTCACACCGCGAGGGCCAGGATAGCCGATGGGGCCCTGGGGGCCAGGCTGGCCCTGAAAATGACAACATTGAAAAATTGTTAAATGTGTGTGGCGAGGAATGAAAATCTGTGGGTGAAGTAACCTTGCAAGAAGTTTATAGCTGAACACACACATCAAAAACTTCAAAACACTGACTTCTTAATCTGAAATTGAATTAAACATTCAAACTTCCTCATTAAGACTGAATGTATTGTGTATAAAAACAATTAGAAAGAAAAATATTATTTGTTCACGTCTGATCATAAAAAAAACCCCAAAACAAATCCAATTAAGACATATTCAGCATAAATACTCCCTAAAATTTTGTTAGCTTACCAAAGCTCCTTTCTCTCCAGGTGGACCCTCTTTACCAGGATGTCCCTGTAGAATAAAGACATATATTTATTATAAAGTAATAAAGTGTCTGACAATCTTCTCAAGTTTGCTATAAAGATCTAAAGATACATTTTTGAGTCACAAAACACATTTTCCCTGCTATGATGCTCAGTGTTGGGGATAACGCAACAAGTAAGTAATCAGATTACTTTTCCAAAAGTAACTAGTAAAGTAATGCATTGCTTTTAAATTTAAAACAAAATATCTGAGTTACTACTGACTACTTTGTTTTCCCATTTATTAACTGACACCTCTCCAGTCACAATGTTAAGAGACATTGGAAGTAAGCGCAGAGGTGTTGTGTGCGCTGTCGCTGTGTGAACATGATGGTTATTGTAATCTAAATGTAATCAAGCATTTACTCATCTCACTTGCACAAAAACAGATTCAATATTCCTCGAAATGAAACGAAAGTGTTGAACTTTCTTCTTCAGCAATCTAGAATGGCAGCACGGCTGAATGGTTTGTTTGAGCTGCGCCCTCTACTGTACAGAATGTCCATTCCCTACAGCCACAGTCTTACTCATTTCACTTTGGGTGTAAAAGGGTCTTTACATTTGCCAAAAATACAAAAAGTTTTATTAAAAAACAAACAAGCAAACCTAGCCCAGGTGAGAAATAGTAACGTAACATATTACTTTCCATAACAAGTAACTAAGTAATGCAATATTGAAGCACATCACTTTTAAAGTAACTTTCCCCAACATTAACGATGCTTCTATACTATCAATAATATAGAGCATGTTTAGTATGCAGAATGTGTATAAAGATAAAGAATCAGTTGAGCTAAATCCTTATTAGACTGTTGAAATGTATTTCAATCATCACCTCTCAGTAGTTTAGTAGGCATGAATCACTATTAGTATCACTGAAACTTACAGGAGGTCCATCCGCGCCAGGCAATCCAGGCAAACCAGACCTTCCGTGAGGACCCTGTATGACGAGACAGAGAAAAAGACCTTCGATTGGATTAAGAATGATGTCTAAGACCACAGATGCCCTACAGGAAAAAAACATGCACTGAATCGTGATCTGGAATGGTCTTATGAGAAAGGAGGTACGCTTGAAAATGAATGCAACTAAATGCATGTTCCAATGATGTATGATCTACCCAGCACTGAAGCTCCATTTAACATGTGCATTTATTCATTTATCCAAAGCAAAGGAGCACACGGGTACAAGGGATAAGTAATAAAGAACCAACAATATTATGTAACGCTTTATATCACCATGATATGTTGGATAATCTTTCTTTTCGGTCTCATTCTTTTCTCTTGCGAAGTATGAAAACTACAGAACACTTACTTTTTCTCCAGGCGGTCCGATAGGGCCTTGTGGACCCGGAAGACCCTGTACAACAGAAAACAGACAGCAAACGTCAAGCTTTGTTGCCATGACAACGGGGCGGGGGGAGATAGAGGGATAGGTGTGTAGTGCAGAGGAGTCTTTTCTGATGACTTACACCCAATAATAGATGTATTGTATTGTCCCTGTGTGTGTGTGTTGGCAGGGTCATTTGTCTTTGCTTGATGAGTGTGTTTACTATGTGTGTGTTTACAGTATCTGTGTCTGGTTCTGTGTATTTTTGAATGTAAGTGTGTGTGTGCTGCCCAGGAGTTCACTCCAGGGAAATTTGATCTCCCGGCTCTGATTGGACCGCTGCAGGTGGGGCGTTATGAATGAGACGCTTTCAGCTGCCCACTTCCTCTGGGCCCGGCAGAGGCTTACAGAAATATTTCAGATCATTTCATCGTGCCCTCTGAGATTCAGTACGACAAAGCCGTTCGGAAGTAGATTGAAAAATTATAACTACACAAAAAAAAAAAAACCTGAGCAAATTCAAAGCCATGGTACACTGCAAAAATAAATAAAACAGATTGCTAGCGTGCATTTTCCACTTCAAAATTTTCAGTGTTACCATTTCTTTGTAATTGATTCGACACAATTTTTTTAAATGTAGAGAGAATGAAATATGACAAAACTAGCATGTTTGTGTGGCAATTAATTTAGTGTATAAATAATGATTTAATGTAATATATTTATTTTAATATATAATAAAATATATTTTCTATTTAATATATATATATTTTTTGTAAACTTTTTTCTTTACTGTTCTTTTTTTTTCTTTTAATTTAACACAAAATACCATACTTTCTTTCCAAAACATTAAAATATTAGAGGGATTGCACCCTGCCTAAAATATAATATTAAAAATGTAATCCCCATGACCTTTTCGTGACCTTTAAGGTTTTATTAATTTCGGTGACATTTCCAGGACCAAAATGAAAATATAAATGGCAATGATCCAAAGTCAACCATGGACCTTGCTCAATTCTCAATAGGCCTACTAGTAAAACCTGTGAGGTTGTGTGTCTGAAGTGTGTGTTTGTACTCGCCTGTGTTCCTGGGATCCCCTGCTGTCCAGGAGGGCCTGGCTCTCCCTGTGGTCCCTGTTCAACAGAAAAAGATGCTTTGCATCAACTGCACTGAATGATTTATATGTTTTTAAGTATGTTGACATGTTTGCTAATGCTAATATGATGCTAAAACATTAATATGGTTAACAGAATGCTGACAGAAAATTATTATCATTAATAGTATTATTAAAGGTGGTATGCCATTCTACCATGTAAGCTTCAGGCCAGCTAACAAATAAATATGATATGTTTTAAGAACATTTTGCTAACATTCCCATTAAGTTATGAAAACATTATTTTGAAAAGTCGTCTGAATGTTACATCCAGTTTTGTGATAAAGTTTTAAGAACATTATTAAAGACCAAATAACTCAGACCGAACTGTTACTGGAATAATGTTTGCGTATAACTGTTAGCTGCATGCTAGGTCTACTACAACTATTCTCATATTTCACAGTACGTTCACCCGACGTTTTAAAGTGTGTTTAGTTACTGTACAAGACTAACTGCCATCAGACTAGCTTCTTATGGCAAATCAGTTTAGTTCTGAACAAAAAGCTCTTGAATATATCTGAGGGGTCATGACTTAGCATTTAGCCTGAATTAGCTGTTTTCGTTAAACATCATTTGGTTTCTGAACAGAAACAGAAGATGTTTTAGATTTGATACGCCAAAAGTAGAGCTATTTTGTTACACAATGTTGTTACTCTGGCAGAAAGTAATGCGATTTAAACTTCACAGTCTGTTTTAGTCTGTTTCAACAAGGGCACAACACATTCAAAACCCACAGAGATTTACTCAGTATTATCAGCATGCTACAGCTAACGCCACGTTTACAAAAAGGATGTCTCTTACCATGTTTCCTTTGGGACCCTGTGGACCATCAACACCAGCAATGCCCTGCAGAAATCAATTGTGAAAAAGATTAAAAGCGAGCAATCGGCATGAGATCCACAAGATCATAAATTTAAAAGTTCAATCACTTACAGGCTGTCCAGGAGGTCCAGGAGGGCCTCGAGGGCCGAGCAGTCCTCGCGGCCCCTGGGATAAAAAGAGATTAAAAAAAGTCCTGATTTAAAAAGGCAAGTACATTCTCATCTGATTTTTAATAGGAATCATAATAGCCAGCACTTACGCTCTCACCAGCAAGTCCTCTTGGTCCAATCTCTCCATCTTCTCCCTAAAAAAAGGAGGAAGAAGTAAATATGGATGAAAAAGAAATGAAAATGGTCGTTTTTGTTCTTCAGGTGATTCAGAAAAGCACTTACTCTTGGTCCGTCTTCTCCGGTAGATCCTTGGGGACCAGGAGGACCAGTCTCACCCTGTCATTAAAGAGACATCAAACTTTATTACATCTAACTTCATATATAATCTTTTCACCTTTGCTTGCAAGTGACCTAGGGAGCCATTTTGGATCCCAATAATTATTACCTTTGTTGAGATGGGAACGGGATGGAAATCCCCTACTGTACCGTTTCCTATGTACAGTATTGAGTCTGTTTCTACTTCTTCTCAGTACCATATATTTATTATAAAGGTGAAAATAAGTATTTTAACACATTTTTGTTTGTTACTGAATCAGTTTTTATGCACCACAAATAATGATGGATTATTGAATTGTGTTGCTTTTATGTACCTTTAATTATTGTTATAAAAACGTCATTTATTGCAAACAAATATAACATTTTGCTAATATAAATTTAGCAAAATTTAATCAATTGCATTATGGTAATAATCCGCAAAATACTTTTGATAGCTGTATTATATGCCTGTTTAGAAGCAAGTTAGAAAAATTATAGAGGGGATGGATGGGAAATTACCAACAATGGGAGTTAAATGAATCGGGCAATATAATCATTCAGAATTCCGCTTATGAATTAATGCCTATAATTTAGCTAAATCAAAACCTAAGTAGAAATAATTCAATATGAAGAAACTAACTTATTTGTGGCATTTTGTATACATTTTTTTCCTGATTTTATTTTAACACAATATACAAAGTTACCGCACTTTCTTTCTAAAATCTTAAAGGAGTTGCACCAAAGATATAATACAGAAATTAGCAAAATTGTTGTGAACCTCTTCCGTCTTCTTTTACAACCTCCTCTACTCACCCTGTGTCCCTTTTCACCAGGCAGACCTGGAAGCCCATCAAAACCTCTGTCACCCTGTGAAGAAGACCAGTCAAGCAATATACTGATAAGATACTGTATAACGGCACAATACTGTCTGTAATAGCATATGGCATATATGTGGGTGACAATATTTCTTGTACCTTAGCTCCGGATTCTCCAGGCATTCCACGGGCCCCATCGGCTCCAGCACGCCCCTGTCACAGAGATCAGAGATGATATAATACGGGGAACCATAATGTATCCATTGACCAAAACATTGCTTATTTAAGAAATGTATATGTGTGTGGGAAATCTCTCACTCTCTTGCCAGATTTTCCCATTTGCCCTGGTGGGCCTTGGATACCCCTTGGACCCTGTGGTAGAAAGATAGATGATTATTTAGGGAAGTATTTAGACTGTAGGATGATGAGCAACCAAATCTTACCTGAGGACCAGGGTCTCCACTCTCTCCCTTCAGTCCAGGAGGACCTGGAAGACCCTGAATGTGTTTGAGAGATGCATTAGACCAAGACTAGACCAAACCAACACATTTTTAACATAGGAACAGAAAGATTGAAATGCCTGCACTATACACAACCAAACAGCAGGTGGCAGTCTTTCACAGCATAAACTATTCCACATCATTCCGCACTCTCTCCTAGAGCATAAAAATGAGCTAAGAACAAAAGTACCGAAGTTAAAATAGTAGTTATGTTGTGTTTTTTTGGGTTTGTTTTTTAGCACCGCACCACATGCATCTGAAAAACGAATGATTTTAAAATTGCTGCTATCCAGACAGACAGTCCTAATTTTTTTAAAAGATAATTTAAAAAGATAATTTAAGAGTTTATTCCTAAAATTATACCCTACCATAGAGAATCATTTGGAAACTCAAAGATTTTCATTTTTCTGCTTTTCATTTGGCACATCTGAGCAAACAGTTCTTTTGATTTTCAAAGTCTCAGTCAATTATGCAGGATAAGTATGACATGACTGTGGTTTTCATGCTTATTAGAGTTGTTTTGTCATTCGTTTTGTTCTGTCTGAGCAGGATCATTGCTCGCCTGAAGTGGTTAGGCTTGAGTTCTCTGGCCCACTGTGTTTCAACAGGTCAGACAGTTCATTAATCTGGTTACCTGGCCTCTGTACTCATTGAATGAGCAGTAAAAGAAAAGATATTGTGCTAAAATTTTGGAATTATTTATCATATTTGCTGACTGAAATCCAATATTTGTATCGCTCTAGCACATCTCGCTTTCTCAAAAAATGAATTTCATTGCATTTTTGCTTTTGACAACCATTTGTACGTCGAAGAAGTCTTTTATGATACATTGAAAAACATGATTTTCCCATTTTCACATACTGTACATGACATTATTTTTAGGGCTGTCAAACAATCGCATCCAAAATAAAAGTTTGTGTTTACATAATATATGTGAGTGCGCTGTGTATAATTATTTTGTATATAAATACACACACATGCATGTATATTTAAGAAAAAAAAATTATTTATATATAAAATATTTATATTTATATATAATATAAATTCGATATAAATCTATATACAGTATATACAAGCATGTGTGTGTATTTATATATGTAAAATAACAAACTTTTATTTTGGATGCGATTAATCACGATTAATCGTTTGACAGCCCTAATTATTTTATGCCTAATCCTGATTTCAAGGTTAGAATTATGGCCAGTGACTGTGGAAAATGCAAACAGCGACATAAAATGACATATTTAATAAAAAAAAAAGCTATAACCTTAAGTTTATGTAAAGTTCTTTGCAATTAAGTATTTGAACATATTGTTCTGTATTTTTCAGCATTGTAAGATAAAAGATACATTTTGATTTCTTCTTTTTGCAATCTTTTGACATTTGACCTTTTTAAAAATCTTTAAATGTTAAAAAGTGCATTAAAGCTGATACAAAACGGAAAAATCATCATTTATTGATATTTTTCAATTCAGCATACTGATATTATTTTGGGGAAGATGCAGGGCTGTGTAATGAATGGGACAGTGATAGTGTCCTGCATATAATTAGTGGTGATGAACTTTGAATCATTACGTGAAATTGCATTGCTTATATTTTCAGTCAGTCAGATGGTCGTTCACAGGCTGATTGGGTGAGACTTTTTCTGATTGGGTGAGGTCATGAGGTCCTTGAAACTCACCACTGGGCCAGATCTTCCAGTGAGACCCATTGGACCTGCTGTACCTCTCATGGCGAGCTGCAGACACAAACCAAAAAAAAAAATCAAAATCATCAATCACGCGCTGAACGACTGACGAACATCGACTCTCTTTACCCAGAGGAGGTGGAGCCGTGTGTGCATTTGTCAAGGACAGATCTGAGCGCTCACACTAATCTGCAACACCTGTCAGGGCCGGCCTACTGCGGGTCGTGAACCTTGCTAGTATTTTTAACTAGTGTCTCGGCATGAGTCAAAGCACCCTGTGCTGCTCCGTTTCACTCTTGTTTTAGCGCAAACAAGGCCGGAGCAAATCCTCTCTCCACCCTTTGACTCCCCGCTCCACCTCTTCCCAACAAACAGTCGAGAGCCCCCCACCTCCCCCCTTAACAAACAGCTGGCCCTTTAATTCTGCTCGCCTGGCCCTGGTCTCGTACTCACCCTGGCCTGGGACAGAATGGCCTGAGCCTGGGCCTCCTGAGCCGACACCACCGGACCCTTTTCCCCATCTCCGCCAAAACGGAACTGTCAAACAACAGCAAAGTATTAATGATCATTTTCATTTAGAAAAACATTTCACACCATCATATGCTATACTATAGATACTAAGTCAATCAAACACTAAAAGGCAACGTAATTAATATTCAATTAGGATTAGGTGGTATTTTTAATACTTTTTCAATATATGTCCTTATATACGATTTTAGTGTACTTTCAATTCTAGGTCAATCAAATATGAGAGGCTAAATTATTAATATTAATTAGGATGTAGATGGTTTTAAATATTTTAAAATCTACTACCAACATGTCAAAAATATAAAATCATGACTAAAATCACAAACATTTTCTAAAGTAAAGTATGCAGTCATTATTTTCATATATTGCAATTGCATTTATCCTTATAACATTTCATACTACAGTATATTATACTGTGCAAACCAACTTAATCATAAATGAATATAATAAGGATTTAGACGGGACACTTAATTCAATTGTACACCATACTATAAATATTAAGTCAATCAAACACAAAAAAAAACAACATTATGAGATGATTTTCAATACATTTTGAAAACAACGAGTTCCAATGCAGTCATTATTTGCATTTATGTATCATTACGTAGCCTACAACTCATACTATATTGTAAGTCATTCAAGTATACAAAGTATTACCCATCTAAATTATTTTCAACTTATATATGAAAAAGCAGCTACATTAATATTTAATTAAGATTTAGAGGGGGTTTAATTCTTTTTAAAAACTACTGCAAAACCATATATTCTAAAAAAGTATGCTATTATTATTTTAATGTATGTATTATTGCTGTATGCATGCATGAAACTTGAGCAGCAGAAGGTTGACAAATTTGCAAAGTTGTTTTTGGTGGATTTAGGGGTCTTACTGGCAACATCAGCATAGTCCCAGGGGGTCCTGGCATGCCATCCGCTCCAGGAAGACCAGCGCGGCCTGGAGGACCCTGAGGAAGCAGGAAGGAGAGAGAGAGAGAGAAGGGATAGATCAGTAACTTGACACTTCTTAACTTGACAACACCCAGGTAAGAGAATGCCAAGAGAGGAATGAGAAAGGGAGGAAGATCAAAGAGCGATAGAGAGAGAGAGAGAGACCTCTCACTGCCATTACCCTTAAGTCAAGTTGCCCATTTTAAAGATACTGATTGGTCTCATTTCTAAGCTCATGAGCATAGGGAGAGGCACCCATGTGTAACCATTACTTTTGCCTAAACGACACTTCATATTCCCCGTCCAGATGGTTCCATGTCATCTCCACCACGTCCAATTACATCAAACTAAGAAAGGCTTTTACTTTTGCAACAGGTTTAGCTTGGGCAGATGTTAAATAACACTAATAAAGGATATTAAAAGTCATTTCTGTCACACATTTTGTGTCTGTTTTTCAATGTAAATAGCACTAGAACGTCTTTAACCGTTGCACTTGCAGTATTTTGCAGAATCTCGTGCATGACGCAGCATTATAAAAACGCGGCGCTGAAGTTAAAAGAAGTTTAGTGTCGGTAAAAGTGATTTCACCAAGAACAATATGTTTTTGTTGATCCTGGAATAACAATCCAATCAACCACTCAGATTTGAGGGACAAGTTTACAGTTTATGTCAATTTAGGTTTAGAAACGGGGTTAAGTGCTTCGACAGTGTCATCAGTGTTGTGTCGGTGTCTGATTTTAGGGATAAGTTATGGGTAGGTTCAAGGGTTAGGACTAAAACTTAGGACTAAAAACAGAAAACACATTCTGTGTGAACCAGCCCTTAGTTTGTTTTTGCATGATGGACAAAATCTTAACAGGAAGTCCTCAAGACCCACATTTTATTGATGCATTTGTGCATTTAGCTGTTTAGAAATCCTCTATTTTAATGTTCTTTCATTCATTTAGGCTATTTGTAAACTACTAACTGTATCTGACTACAACTGAAATATACAGTGATGCAAGTGAGTCTCAATCATTAGCATTCTTGTGTGTGTGTGCTGTTCAATAGAGTGAGTTTTTACGTAGATGTGCAATAGTCAAAACACAAACCTAACATCTGACTGCCAGATTTTGGAGTTGTTTGGACATTTCTAATGATAATTATCCTCAAACAGTTTAAGACAGAAGATTGTGAGCAAACGATAACGATTTACCCACTGAGATACTCACTCTGATGTACTCAATATTACTATCTAGCTCTAATTTGGGTGTCAGAGTTTCACATCTGAAACCTAATGTCAGAGAGGGTGTAAATGTGCCCTTACGGTCAGGAATCTGCCATGACCCCGTTCAGAATAAATTAGCATTATGTATTGTAGTTTACTAAATAAAGACCGTTTTTCTTAGCCTTTCTTACTTAGTCTCCAGTCTATACCCATATCAGGCTTAAGCTTTTCTCTCTGTTCATCACACATTTCATTTGACATGCTTCTATGGTCACAGTGCCTCAATTCTGGTCAAAGACTAATTCAATTTCTGTAAAACAAAAGCTAAAATATGATAGAAAAAGGTTGAGACCTAAACCTTAACTCTTGTTAAAATCCTGAAAATATCTGTGATCATAAACATAGCCTGGATTCGGAGACTGGAACAAATTCTTACCCTGTCACCAGGATCTCCGGCCGAACCAGGGGGGCCGTGTAAGCCTGGAGGGCCCGGAAGACCCTAAACACAAAAAGAAAAAAGAAATAAACACAGACAGATCTGATCACAATGATAACCCAATTAACTGAGATTTTAGGCCATTTGTTGTTCATAAAACTCGCTAGAGGACATTGGTTGAATATTATAACTTATGCAGGTAAAAAATAAATAAATAAAATGCAAGTAACTTACAGCAGGCCCAGGTGGTCCGGGAGGTCCCTCAATCAGCATGCCCTATGAATCAGACAACAACATCAGAATTACAATCTGATTGCAACATCAAATTAATAAATGAAAATTCATTCACTTTGACTAATTTCTCGAATTAGATTTTTGTCTCTCAATTAGTTTCTTGTTCACATCAGATTTGAATTTCTTATTGATTGAAGTAAATTGCATGTGTTTTGGAAGATGTGAGCAAAAGAGTAAGTATAATTGTCTACAATTTGAAAAATAACTAAATGCACATGGCTTGTTGTTCAAAACTGCTGAGTCGATTCTCAGTGAAACTAAGGTCTTCACGGCTTTTTTCATCGTGTGAGCCATCACATGCAAAATGATCCATTCAGTTACCAAAATCTGTCAGACATGCATGTATATTCCATAAACATCTGACAAGCAAGCGATGCTTGTAATGTCTGCTAAATTGGCAAATGGCTTGCCATCTTGCCAATCATCCAATCAAGCTTGGAATCATATCAATATATGGAGTTTTCCCAGCACAATCACTGCCATTTTTGAACACGGAGGAACATCACAACCATAAACAGCAGCAGCTATAGCAATACTGTATACATTTATTTGTATTTATTTTGAAAATGCCAAAGCGATTGGAAAAAAAAAATGTCCAGAATTGCCCTCTCACTCACTGGCTCAATCACTGCAGGCTCTCCCTTCTCTCCTTTCTGCCCCAGATCAGCAACTCTACCCACCTGCAAACATACAAGAGAGGTTAAATATGGCTAGATAGATAGATAGATAGATAGATAGATAGATAGATAGATAGATAGATAGATAGATAGATGATAGATAGATAGATAGATAGATAGATAGATAGATAGATAGATAGATAGATAGATAGATAGATAGATAGATAGATAGATAGATAGATAGATAGATAGATAGATAGATAGATAGATAGATAGATGCAACAGTAAACTATTATGGTTAGTACTAATGCAGAGTGCATGAGGTAGTCTTACTAAAGAAAATATGCAATATTCATATTTAACAATATTCTCTCTGACATTGAAGGAATAGTTCACTTTGAAATTATTTTTTGGTATGTTTTAGCTTATCTCAAGGGCATCCAAGATGTAGGTGTCTTTGTTTCCGCAGTATTTTCAATTTTGATATTTGTAACAAAAAATAGTCATATAATGCAGGTCTATGGTCACCACCTCAAAGAGCATGCACAGAGAAGTCCAAATGAAACATGATTTAATGACTCGTAAGTACACATTGATGGCCTAAGACATGAAACGAACGGTTTGTGTGGGATAACAAACAGTATTTATATAGTTTTTACCTCTTGTAACGGCAGCCACAAAGCGCCCACGCCCTCAGATCACTTGGATGTGGCTGTGGTTACAAGAGGTAAAAACTATATAAATACTGTTCGTTTTCTCACACAAACCGCTCGTTTCGTGTCTTAGGCCATCAATGTGTACTTACATTTATGAGTCATTAAATCATGTTTCATTTGGACTTCTCTGTGCATGCTCTTTGAGGTGGTGACCATAGACCTCCATTATATGACTGATAGACACAAACGGTTTGATCTAAAAATATCAAAATTGAAAATGCTGCGGAAAAAAGATAGCTACATCTTGGATGCCCTTGAGGTAAGCTAAAACATATCAAAAATTCATTTCAAAGTGAACTATCCCTTTAACCAGAAGGGAAGTGTGTAACCAATGTTAAGGGCAGCCAGGATCTGCCATGAAACCTTTGCTCATGTGGCCTGTAAGATACAGGTAATGGAGTGTTTGGCGGAGGGGAAGTATGAGCTTCTTTAGGAGAAGGGTGTGTCTGAGCAGACAGCTGGGTCTGTGGTATGGGGTAATTGTTGTTTCCTGGGGCAATATGGGAGATGAGGTGCTGACAGTCAGGGAGTTTAATCTACAGCAGCTCCATGGGTCTCAGGTATGAGAGTGTGAATGTAAGTGATCTGTGAATCAATGTGATCTATAATACGAAACTACTACAGACAAGAGGAAAGAAGTGCTTCAATAACATCCAGTGGACAGAAATTAGTATAACAAACGCACTGGACAGAAAAATCCTGAAAAAAACGGACCCCATGCAAAATGGTGCAATACAAAGCCAACAATGCATGCTACTGTAGATTCCCACATCCAACACTCCCGATTGCAGGACGACACCCTCATTTTGGGGGAGGGGAATACTTACGTCCGACGTCACTTCTGTTTCATCGATGTCGGTTTCGGCGGCGACCCCTGGCCCAAAACTGTCCTCATAATTGGACGCAGGGTTCGGAGCCGCTTTGCCAAACTCATCATATGGCCCGTACTCATACTGATTTTTGTCAAGCCCAGTCACATCATATTCCTTAAGATCATACTCCTTAAAGTCATACTCGTCCACTCCGACGGGTTCGGCGGGCAGCACGGCCTCCGGGACAGTGGTCGCATCCAGACCAGCCTGGGATGTCTCAGTGACATAGTCACTGAATACTTCCTCTTCCACAGCCTTATTATACAGCAATGCGGCCGGGTCGAGGGGAAGGGAGTTCGAGGGAAGATGGATGTTAGTTTAAGCAGTTAAAGCAAATACTACTGTATCTAATCTACTACTGTATGCAAAGCAAAAGCAATATGAATTGCATGAGAGATATTTACTAAGAATATCGCATTAATTTTTTGGCAGCAACAAGGTCCCAGCTAAAGGAAATATGTTTTGCTAAATTTAAGTTATATAAACTTTATTTCTGAATGTTCTCTGAATGCAAATGTTAACGGAACATTCCATTAAGATCATTTCCAAACATTATGGGAATGCTACTTTTGAATGTTCTCAGAACATTCTTTAACAAGTAGTTACATTTAAAAATTTTTAGACGAACTTCCAACTAAAAGAAGTTACATGAACGACGAATAGCGTTTAGAGAACATTATTAATGACCAGATAACAGATAAGATTCTATTAACATTACTGGAAGAACGTTTGCTAAACGTATAAAATTTGGAGAATATTCCCTGTTTGCTGGGGATAATTCTTTGTCGCGTTCAACGGAAATATATGGGATGATTTGGATTGCATAAAATGATTTAGATTAATTGATGAGAATTTATGGCATAAAATAGTTGTGAATTTGTAAATGACAAATTTCATATAGTAGGTTTCAGTAATGGACAGGGATAGTCAGTAAAGTGCATGTTTAAATTTTGGGAGCATTTTTGTGTGTTATTAGACGAGAGACGAGAGATGATGTGTTAATTATATATTTTTTTCCTCATAGACTTGTATGTGTGATTCAATTAGAAAATATAATAATGTATATATATATTAGGGCTGTCAAACGATTAATCGTGATTAATCACATCCAAAATAAAAGTTTGTGTTTACATAATATATGTGGGTGCACTATGTATAATTATTTTATATATAGAAATACACACACACATGCTTGTACATATTTAAGAAATATTTTCATGTATATATTGTATATAGATTTATATATAATTTATATTATATATAAATATAAATATTTTATATATAAATATTTTTTTCTTAAATATACATGCATGTGTGTGTATTTATATATATACAAAATAATTATGCACAGTGCACCCACATATATTATGTAAACACAAACTTTTATTTTGGATGCGATTAATCGCGATTAATCGTTTGACAGCCCTAATATATATATATATATATATACATTATTATATTTACTAACTGAAGTCTGTGATATTCCTGTCTTTTGTCCACAATAAACATAATGGTAAAATGGAATTATGTTTAGAGGTGAAAAAAGAAGACAGAAATAAATCACACTGCAGTGTTTATGAATGTTAATTGTGTGATCAAATGCAGGAAAAGATCATATTTAAACTCATCACATCAAATAAAAGTGTGAAATCTGCATTACTACAGCCAAAAAAACCCTTGAGAAAAACACTCACGCTTATTATAAGATATATGCAATATCAAAGATAAACATCTGTATACACGTGCAGCTCAATTCTGTTAAATATAGTTCTGCTAACTAGTGCCAGAACTTTTCAACCACACTACATGCTATGATGTTATACTTCATCAGAGGTCCACATACAGTATTAGCATGTGGACGCTTCAACATCAGCCCTCTTTGGGTCATTTACTGAGGGAACTGTTTTGAATGGGATGTGCCATCTTATCAATGATATTCAGGGCTAGAAAATTAGCAACCTGTCGATATTTTAGCAATCAATTCTGAGACAAAAATAGATTTAGATAGGATGGTTGATCATTCATACATTGCTGTTTTTTCTTGAGTCCAGCCCTAAACACCATTGACATCCACAACAGAAAGCTGAAACCCAACTAAAAGTCAATCCACTGAGAAACATACTTGATATTCTAGACATGTCCAAAGTGTTAGACATGACAGGAAGTGGATTGGCTAAATTTAGAACTTGGCGGTTATATAGTGAATATCAGCTTTTATGTTGTTGGATAAAACAGTTCCCTTGGAGTGATAGTCAAAAAAAACACAAAACAATTGCCATGAATTGTTTTTGTCTTTGTCATTTCAATCAAATACTTCCTTATGCGTGTCTGGAATGTTCTTCTTTCTCTCCCACATTTTAGAGACCCTCACCCCTACTGTCAAAGTATATAATCAAATAATTACCTGGTTTGGTCCAGTGGTTGCGACAGGAGACCGAGTTTTGGAAGCATCTACTGTTCCGTAGTCAAGTTCACTGTCTGTATAGTACTCCCCATCTACATTGTTAAGCTATAGCAGTTTCAAGGTGAGAAAAAAAGAGGAAGAAGATAAGAAAGGAGGAATTAACACAGTTCAAGCAGTTCCACAAGCGTTACAGGCTGGATCTGCACGGACAGCATCTGAGGAAAAGTGGCGGACGGCACGTTCAGACTATCATCAGAGATTTCCCTCACTGAAAGAGAGATCTTGATGGGTTCTGACGTGAACTACGCTTGTACGGTTACCCCTAGAATGTCTTTTCTTGGTGTCGGTGGCAGGTCTCCATATCTCTTCTTCTTAGGGGCTAATTTTTTAGCCTGTTTTTGCTCCTGGTACTTATAGGGTTTGGAAAAAGACTTAGGGGACTTTCTCGTCCTCTTCGTTTTCATGGAGACACTACGTTTCACTCTCTGGAAAAAGGTTATGGTGAAGGGAAGAAGACACAACACATCAAGGCATCCATGTTAGAAGATACACAAGATCTAGTTATTATTCTTCACATGTGGCTTACTTGGATAGCTTTAAGATATATCTTGGTATACACTACCATTCAAAAGTTCGGGGTCAGTAAGATTATTACTGTTTTCGAAAGAAAATAATACTTTTATTCAGCAAGGGTGTGTTAAATTGACCAAAAGTGGCTTTTACATGCTTTAAAAAATCTATTTCAAGTAAATGCTGTTCTATTGAATTTTAAATTCATCAGAGAATCCTGAAAAATAAAAAAATGTTTTAAAAATGTATGTTTAATATTGATAATTATAAGCAATGTTACATGTTAAATGGACATTTATCACAGAATCCTGAGGAAAATCTATCATGATTTCCACAAAAATATTGTTTATAAATATTTATTGAAAATAACTGTTTTCGACATTGATAATAATAGGAAATGTTTCTTGAAAAAGGCATATTTTAATGATTTCTGATGGATCATGTGGCTTATTTTCCAGTTTTTCATCAATAAATAAGATATATTAAAATGGGAATTATTTTAAATTATAGCAATATTACACAATATTACTTAATGTAATATTTACTGTATGATTGAATAAAGGCAGCCTTGGTGAGCATAAGAGACTTCTTTCAAAAACATTAAAGCATCGACCACAAACTTTTGAACTGTATGTAAATCAGGGATATAACAGGAAATTAAATATTCATCATCAGGTTTGAGTAGTCAAAAATGTTGTTTTGATACCACCTTAACTGAGAAGATTTCAGGTTTGCTTCAAAAAACGGTTATCCTAAAAGTTTTTTTTATAGAATCCATTTGACTCTTTAAGTTCACAGATGGCTTTATTTTTTAATTTTATTTGTATGAAACCCAGTAAAGACCCTAGACATTGAGTTTACAGGTTCCATTAAAAACATGGACAGGCACACAAGGGCAAACGTATGTGCACTGCTACAGTAATTTATGGGTCTGGCTATTTAAGCTAACTAACAGGTGCTTAAACTCGCAGACTGCCATATAATCTCCTTAAACAAACATTTCCAGTCATACAGGGTGTACCAAAGTGCTCCACCAAGAACAACTTGCCTGACCCACACACCGGTCAGCCCACACCACATGATGTTGCCCATGTAATGTACTGTACATTGGACAAGGAGAGGGGGTGTGGCCACCTCATGATTGACATAAACACATCACACATTTCCAGCATTATTTACCTGCGGCTCAGAATATTCATCTGTCGCTGTGGGGTTCGCTCCCTCATAATAATCATATGAATCACCATATCCAACAGCAGTTGGGTACTGCACACAGGGAGAGGATGAGAGAGAGGTTAGCAAAGCATCCAAAACTCATGTAGAATGTAATCTACCCTTGAGTGCATTACATACTTGATGGTTAGGTATACTGTATAGCTGGTTTTATACAGTACAGATGAATTTATCGTGTTATACAGCATATTTTCATGTTTGCTAATGTGTCCAATGAAAATAAGTCATGATCAAAACAATCTCAGAATCCTAAAACTACTGAGTTTGTGTCACTGGATTGATTAACTGTGTGAGGGTTCAGTATATATGAACACACTGCATTAATTACTTTAATGTATAACATGTGATGCACTTATTCTGATTTACAGGTGGGTGTTTAAAAGCCTATAAAAAGGCCCTGCATGTCTAAAGCAGAGAGAACCGCCATATGTTGGTTGTTTTCTTCCGTGAACCCCCTTTTTTATTCTTTCTCATCTTTATATGAGTGTAAAATCCCATCTGCCTTCTAAAGCAAAGGCAAATTAAAGGCTCAGACCTGTTGAAAGAGTCAACATTTCAAAGTCCTATTAGCTATAAAACTACCTGTGTCTGGTACAAGGTATATCTTTAAATGTATATCTAGACTTTATAGTGTTACGTTTAGAATATTAAGTGTAATGTTAATAAAAAAGTGTTAGATTTGGCTAATTTATATTCGCATTCATCAATTATGACACATTTTTAATTAATGAATGGATGGTTTAATCAATCTTTTGCTTATGTTTGTGTAGCAGTTTCTCTGTTTCTGCTTCTTCGACACAAATAACGTCTGTAAGAGGAGCAGAAAGCCCAATAAAACCACTGAGTCGGGCTCTCCAGGGCTTCATCCATCAAACATAAGTATATGTTAATTCTCATACAGCATAAGAGCTCATAAAACACTGCTCTGATGATCAGGCCCTCTTTCACGCCTGGTGATCACTCAGCATTGATTGGACCCCATTTAGCCTGGCCCAGTATGATTTATGAGCAGAGCATCTCAGGGTTATTGATCTCTCACATTCAGGAAACAACCCTCTCCCTGTTTCAGCAGGATATAATGCGTTAAAATGACATTTAGTGTCTGTGCTTACAGGAGTCATCACAGAGGTCAGATGTGCCAAGGTGAGGCTGACCTTTGACATTTTATAATATATATACACTACTGTCCAAAATTTAGTCGGTAATTTATTTTTTAAAGGAATTAAAGAAAAAAAAAACTTTTGCTGATAATTTGCTCACCCTCATGTCATCCAAGATATCCATGTCATTCTTTCTTCAGTCGAAAAGAAATTAAGGTTTTTGATGAAAACTTTCCAGGATTTTTCTCCATATAATGGACTTCAATGGGAACCAAACGGTTCAAGGTCCAAAAGACAGTTTCAGTTCAAACTGCAAACTGTTCAAAGGGCTTTAAACGATTCCAGACGATGAATACGTGTTTTATCTAGCAAAACGATTGCTCATTAAAAAAAAAGAAGCAATTTTTAAGTTTTATAAGCTCATGGTCACCTTGCTCTGTTCTGTGATGTGCGTTCGTGACTCGTTCGAACTCGTTTATCAAAATGAACGAATCTTTTCCCGAGTCAACTCGTTCATTTCGTTCGTCGAATGAACCGAATGACACGAAAAAAGATTTGTTCATTTTGATAAACGAGTTCGAACAGGAGAGTCACAAACGGAGAAAGGTGACCATTTGAGCTTATAAAACAAACTTTGTTATTTTTTTAAATGAGCGTTCGCTTCGCTTGATAAGACTCTTATTCATCGCCTGGAATCGTTTAAAGCCTTTTGAACAGTTTGCCGTTTGCATTGAAACTGTCTTTTGGACCTTGAACCCTTTGGTTCCCAATGAAGTCCATTATATGGAGAAAAATCCTGGAATGTTTTCATCAAAAACCTTAATTTCTTTCCGACTAAAGAAAGAAAGACGTGGACATCTTCTTGGCATGACATGGGGGTGAGTAAATTATCAGCAAAACTCCTTTAATACCTTTTTTTTTAGTGAAGACATTTCAAATTGATCAAAAGTGACAGTAAAGTTACAATGTTACAAAAAAAATCCAATTTAAAAAAATCCTCAAGAATGGATTCAAATAAATAAATAAAATTAAGCATCATTGATAATAATAAGAAACGTTTCTTCAGCACCAAATCAGCATATTAAAATGATTTTTTAAGGATTGTGTGACATTGAAAACTGCTGAAAATGCACACTCTAAAAATGCTGGGTTGTTTCAACCCAAATTTGGGTTAAAAACGTAATTAAAAAATTTACAGATGAAAGTGAAAGTTCAAGTTGGGTTAAAATTTTAAATTACATTGTTAACCCAACATTTGGGTTTGTCCATATTTGACCCAAATTTGGGTTAAAACAACCCAGCATTGTTTAGAGTGCAGCTTTGCCATCAAAGGAATAGATTACATTTTAAAATAATTGAAAACAGCTATTTTAAATTAATATTTCAGAATATTACTGTTTTTACTGATCAATTTAGGTATGAATAATATTTTTTGAACGGTTGGTAAAATATATATATCTAAATATATTATCTTTGAATATAGATCCATAAAAATCATTCCTCACTATGAGATGCATTTAAAAAGTTTGTAGTTTGCCATAATTTATCAAAAAATAATTGTATCTGTTTAATAATAGGCCTAATAATAATAATGTGTCGAAGTATGATTTTAAATTACATTTTTTGTCACTTCCTGTTCTTCAATGTTATTTCATAATTTTGATGACTTCCCGCTAATTCTAACATGTGGAAAACAACGACAAAGTCTAAGTCTGTGTGTTCAATCGTTTGACCGGTAGTGTCAAAAGTATCAAGAACATGTCAGACTTCCAGAAACGTTTGGCCTTCTGGTGTATACTAACCTCCTCCCCGGGCTCTTGTGCTTGCAGTGTGTCCTTGTGGGGGACGTCACAGTCTGGGCTGTAGTGTTCACAGTAGTCGTAAGCTGCTTTAGGGTCGGACACAATCAGCAGTTGTTGGATATCACCCTGAGGGGACGAATGACAGAAAGATACATGAGATACATGTGCTCATTTACCAAAAACACCTCTATTGTTACTAAGACATTATGTATGTATACTGATGAGGCCCTTGAAATGATTGACATTGGCATCTATGGTTCCTTGAAGAACCTTTTACATTGGTGGAACATTTCCATTCCTCACAAGGTTCTTTATAGTGGGAAGCTATACATATTCTTTATAAAAGGTTTTTTCTAGGGCTGTTAAACGATTAATCGCGATTATTCGCATCCAAAATAAAAGTTTGCGTTTGCATAATATATGTGGGTGCACTGTGTATAATTATTTTATAAATACACACACATGCTTGTATATATTTAAGAAATATTTTCATGTATATACTGTATATAGATTTATATATAATTTAGATTACATATAAATATAAATATTTTATTTATAAATAATATTTTTTTCTTAAATATACATGCATGTGTGTGTATTTATATATACAGTATATACGTATATATATATATATATATATATATATATACACACACACACACACACACACACAAAATGATTATATTATTTACATTAATTACATTATTTTGGATGCGATTAATCGCGATTAATCGTTTGACAGCTCTAATTTTTTCACAAATGGTTCTTTTAAGAACTGTTCTCTGAAAGGTTCTTTGGGGAACCAAAAACGGTTCTTCTATGGCATCATTGTAAAAAATCCCACCTTTATTTTTGAAGGTTGTGATTGGCCAAAACAGAACAAAAATACCACTTCCGGAGTGCAGGGAATGCATGGAATCATGGAATGTCAAGGCAACAAAACAAAACAAAATCATTCGCAATGAGGAACGTGGGTCAGATGCTTCGGGAAATTGCTGTTTTAAAAGCAGGTAAATAAAACGTGTTACATCACGAAACACCTCGTAACAGACACCCAGACAGGAAGTTTCCTCTCATATAAAATTCGGCTTCCAACAATGGTTAGACAACAGTTCATAAAACCTTGGTCAACAGCACAGTCTTTCTTCCAAATGCGTGAAATCTGTTTCTTGCTATATTCTGGGCAGAAACCATACATTCATCCTGCATTCTGATCAACAACCTATTGATTAAAAACATCATTTACTGTATGAGGTTTTGATTTAAGCGATTATTTTTGTCCATTGTCTCTTATAGGCTGTAACTCATTCAGATCATTCTGTTCAGCTGCTGGCTTTAGATTGGTTCAGTATGAACTGGGTCTGTTACAAGGATAGACTTCTATAGTGAAGTCCACAAGTAGTTCTGGGGGATGTGTTCGAACCTGAGGTCTCTTCTTGGCACTGTCACAAAGAGAGGGAGAGAGTGTGCGATTTAGCAACAAGGCAACCACTGGAAAAAAAAAAAAAAAAAAACCCAGCAGGCTCGGACTTGTTAGGGGCATGTGCGTCTGTGTATTTTTATACCGCTCTCTGTAAACTCGACTATATAAACAGCAAAATGCTCAGGTGTGTACACAGTAAAAAAAAGAGGTGTGCTTGACCTCCTTATTTGAACAAAATACCTGCTCTATTATTATTTAGTTAAAGAAAATAAGACATTTAAGGGAATAGTTTATCCACACTTATAAATCCACCATCTCATGACTTACTTTCTTCGGTAGGATACAAAATGTGAATTTTTGAATAACATCCAATACAATCATTTAAAATAATGAAAAGGGGTTTTAAAGCTTCAAATTAACAAGTGGTTGAAATGAACAACTTATGAAGTCATCTGGTAGCTTTGTGAAGAACAGATTGAAATTTCAGATTTTACGTTGTTGTTGTTGAGCTGGTTGAAAGTCTCTTGACATTGTGATGGCAATCAGTATGTTAAGTGGTCTAAAAGTATTTGTGAATGTATATTGTATGTGGAAGGCGTAGGAACACAACATTTTCGTCCAATCATTACATTCGGTCTGAATGTCCTACATGCCTGTCAACGTGTGTATTTCTAACGCATTCTCATCCTAGGGCATCATA